GCATTGGAATGGGCTGCCCAGGAGTGTGGTTGAGGCACCATCCCTGGAGGTGTTCAAAAGACGGGTTGACATGGTGCTGGGGGACATGGTTTAGTAATGGGGTTTTTTGTCAGAGTTAGGTTGATGGTTGGACTAGATGATCTTGAAGGTCTCTTCCAACCTATATGATTCTATGATTCTATATTCTTGACCTTTATTGCAGTGTCTCTGTTGCTGTGACGAGTCACAGTGACGGCAATCGGATCAGCTGGTGACAGCTGAGACCCACACTGACTTGCCTGGAAGGGGGGCTGCAGTGGAGGGGGAACCTCCGCATTGGGAACTTCTCCTTATCAGTGTTTTAAGACTTGGTAAAAAAGAATCTCTTAAACCTCTCTACCAAACCACTCTCTGGCTGTTTAGTGTTCAGAACCCCTGATTCTCCGTTCCAGCCTAGCATGACGGGATGCAAGGTGGATAAGTTTTGATTTTCTTGTTTCGACATAGGTATCAAAGTTAGTTGCTCTGGGTCAAAGGTGTGTGAATTAATTGGCCCACATCCATTCCCTTTGGCCAGCTAGAAAGATGCAGGAAAAGTCCAAGGCCAGAGCAGAGCTGAACCCTCCCATCTTCCAGTGGCTGAAGGTTCAGGGACTCCCAAACCACACCTGTAACTCGGGGATCAGTAGTCCCTGAGACTTCTGCTATGTGTGTTACTCACTCAGGTATTAAGCATGAACTTAAAAGTACTTTCTGAACACTTAGATGTCCACAGCAGCCTGTGGCTGGGTTCCAAAACTCTTCTGTGACAATGCTACTTCCTTACTCTTGCTACCTTTTCATTCGATGCTTTTCAATTTCTGTGTTATGAGAAACAGCAAATAATTGTTCTCAGTTCATCTTTTCCACGACATGATTTGATATGCCTGTCATAGCTGTTATCTCTTCCAGGCCTGGAATATTTTAGGTTATTAAATCTTCTTCTTCAGAAGCTATTTTATACCTCTGCTTGCACTTTTTTTTCCTTTCATTAGCCTTAACATACTTTTTTTTTTTTTTAACTTCTATTACAGTGTAAGTTCTAATAGCCTTGGAAATGAAGAGTGAGCATCAAAATTAAATCCTGGTCTTTTATAGTCTGTGCATAACACGAGCAGTGGTTTGGCCAGTAGACTTTTAAACTTTGAAGATAGAAGCAGTGCTTTTGTTCTTAAAGTAGGCATTTGCAGCAGTGTACAAATCTGCGTCCTTTGGAATACCTCTGAAAACAGAGTATTTTTTCTTACGTCAGTAGATGTGGTGGATTGGTATGTGGTATAGGAGCCATCATATTTAAAACCTGACATTTTGTATGGTTAGCACAATTGCAATAAAATAGGTTTCTCTTTGATCTCACAAAGTGGTCAGTGTAACTGAATTTGAGGTATGCTAGAGAAAGGGGAATTAATGCAGAAGTAAGAAAAAACAACTATACCACAACATCTCAGAAGCAGCCAAAGCCTTGTATGATAAATGAAGACTTAGAAGTACTGCCACCTGATGAATAAAGTGAAAGAAAAGTAACTTGAGGAAACACCGAGGTGTTTTATGGAACAAAAGGTGTAGGATTTTTTTGCAATATTGCCATTACTTAAGGCATAATTTAGTTTGTGCTTCCCTCTTTCAGTTCAGACTTCAGTGAGATTTGGGTTTTCCATTTCTGTTTGTTTGTTTTCTTAAAAAGAAATGATCTTAATTGTAAGAGTGAGTTGAGGAGTCAGGTCTAGTCAGGCCAAAATTCTGCTGCTTCTCTTGAGACATCTTCTGCACCTTTCAGGTTTCTTTTCAGAGATAAAATTATTGAGGAACTATCTATTTTGCTGTGTGGTTAAATGAATTTTTCTGCTACCACAAGCAGCTGTCCCACCATCACCCTTACAATTAAAGCAGCAGCGTGTTTACTGCTGCCATAACTTGATAACCACTTAATGTGAAAATATGACTCAACTTTCCTTATTAATTCTACTTTTTCTTCCACAAAGGACAATTATCTTCCTCCAGAAAGTTTAAATTGGGCTTTTTTAAGCAGTCCTTTCAGTCGAAAATAAATAGCACTAATATAGATAGCAACTGGGGAATTGCTAAATAGGTCTTACAGATTTGGCTTCCTTTTGCCTTTCGTTTTTCTTTTTCCAGGCCTGTTCTCATTTACCTCTTTGTTCTAAGGTTCCCTCAGCCCCTCAGCCGTTGCGTGTCCTCTGCGGTGCCAGGCTCCCATCACTGCTCAGCAGCTGAGCAGCCTTCAGGCTTCCCCCCATCCTGCAGAGCTTTCAGACAGAGATGGCCTTGGATTAAAAAAAAAAAGCACAGGAGGTGAATGTCTGGGTTCTGATTTGTGCCCTGTGTTTGTACTTGAAGGGCTGAGCAGTTCTGGTGCTGGGGTTGAACTGGAACGTGGCTCCTCCAGGGCTCGCAGAGCTACGCTTGCAAATGGCTTCTGCCCCAGAGCTTTTGTTCATCCTCAGCAGGTGATTGCCCTCAGTTCTGGTCTATCCCTTCAGTGGAGATGGAGGTGCTTCTCCAGTCATGGTGTTCTGTCTGGAAGGGTTTAAAACATATAGTGGGTAACATCAGCGTCTTGCAGCTTCCGAAAGCTTTTAATGTGCAGTTTGACTTAGAGTGTGCCTTCAGCTGTATCAGGGTAATGATTCAATTAAGTGTATGGAGAGTGGTTGTTACGATGGCTGTTAGCTGCAAGGCCATGATGAGGCTTGAGAGCAAGGCTAAATGCTTTGGGCTATTACTGAGGGTCGGTGCTGATCAGTTTCCTACGCTCCAAGGATCCTCATGTGTTTGGTTGAGCCTTCCTCCTCTTACTCATCCTTCCCCCACAGCACGAGCCGTGTCTGCGGGAGGTGTTTGTAGGCCAGGAGACAAGGGGATGTGATGTAGCTGTGGATGTTCTACATCACTTACAGAAGCTGCTTCTTAATGCTGCGTCTTTCCCAGATGTGTTTAGTGCCAGATTCCCATGCCTTTCCTGTGGTGGATACCTGCTAGACCTTCTCTTAAAATACGTTTCCATTACGTGACTCTTTGTGCAGGCATGTGCTAGGTGTTCCTCATCCATTACGGGATCTGGTGAGTGGAGCTTCACACACCGAGGGGGTGGGAGGTGTAGATACGCATCTGCAGAGTCGGGTGTCTAAACATGAATATCCCATTCTTGTGTTACTGGAGGAGCAATCGTCCCCCTGCCCCTCATCTGGAGTTTCTTCACTTCAACCTCATCCTGGGCTGCATCAAGAGAAGTGTGGACAGCAGGTCGCGGGAGGTGATTCTACCCCTGTACTCTGCTCTCGTGAGACCCCACCTGGAGTACTGTGTCCAGATTTGGTGTCCTCAACACAGGAAGGACATGGACCTGTTGGAACGGGACCAGTGGAGGGCCAGGAAGATGATCAGAGGGATGGAGCACCTCTCTTATGAGGACAGACTGAGAGAGCTGGGCTTGTTCAGCCTGGAGAAGAGAAGGCTATGGGGGAGACCTCTTAGCAGCCTTCCAATATCTGAAGGGCCAGAGAGGGACTTTTTATCAGGAATTGTAGTAACAGGACAAGGGGTAACGGTTTTAAATTGGAAGAGGGGGAATTTAGATTAGATACCAGAAAGAAATTCTTTATGGTGAGACACTGGAACAAGTTGCCCAGGGAAGTTGTAGATGTGCCATCCCTAGAGGTGTTCAAGGCCAGGCTGGATGGGGCTTTGGGCAACCTGGTCTGGTGGGAGGTGTCCCTGCCCATGGCAGGAGGGTTGGAACTTGGTGATCTTTAAGATCCCTTCCAACTCCAACCATTCTATGATTCTATGATAAGGTACAGAGAAGTATTATATTTCCCTCTTCAGGGCTTCAGACTTCGTGTAGTGTTGCTCTCTTTGACTCACTATTCCAACCTGGCGTTATAGTCAGCATCTTCTTAGAGCTGCTGCAGCTCCTGAATCCCTTATCTGTAAGATTTTTTAAGCAGCAGAAGAGGCGAGCTGATGTCATTCCTGTTACTTTTCCCACTGCTATTCAGAGCTCTGTTGGAAGCAATTGATGCTGGTTGGTTTTCTGCTTCTGAAGTAGAGGCGAGCTGAGAAGCAGCAGAAATATTCAAGCGGTCCACACATAGTCCTGTGAAAATGTTGCTGTCTAAGTCACGATGCCTGCTTTTCTTTTGCCAACTGGAAGAATTTTGTGGAAATGATGGCTTTACTACAAGAAGAATTAGTTTCGGTCTCGGCGAATACAAGTCTTGGTCAAACTAAAGTCTTTGCATTCCTAAGCCTTGAAGTTTTTGTATTCTTCTGTTTTTTTCTTCCGCTATACAGCTATGTGTGCAGCTACTGTTCATAACAGACCAGTCTAAGCAAGTCTAATACACAGGATGCATAGTAAAATGCTTCAAGCAAAATGATTAATAAGTAAATGAATACTGTTTTCGCTTCTTTTCGAATATCTGCATGCAGTACACAAAAGCGCGTTAATTTGCAAATATCTTTCAAGTTTCTGAAACCTGAAATGTGAAAACAAATTAGTCAAATGTAATGTATTTCTATTGACAGCGGCCTTTCTTGTTCTCTCAGGCTGCCCTTTTAAATGTTGCCTCCTTGGCTGAAGGCAGGGCGTACAAGCATCGCTTGTTCCTGGCAAACAATGCAGCTTTACTGCCCATCTTCATATTAAAAGCTTGGTGCTCCTCCTGTATCATCCCCCCTGTCCACCATCCTGGGCACTTGACCACACATGGCGTGCTGTGCATCAAGTGTATGGTTTATAGGAGTAGCGTAGGGGCAATATAGAAGGAGCAAAGACTCAAGCTGTAGTTTATCAGTGTGAGTTGATTGCTGATGACTCCTTGGTAACTCATTTCATTGATTTGTGAACAATTAGCTGTTTGAATTTTTTTTTTCTCTGAACATGCTTTTGTGTGAATATTAAGCTGTATAAATATTGTATTTCTATGCTTTTGCTAAATAAAAATATCTTATTGTTTCAGGTTGCAGTTGTTAAAATGAAGTGTACAGAGCGCATTTATGCAATGAAAATTCTAAATAAATGGGAAATGCTCAAAAGGGCAGAGGTAAGTAATACGGTTCTTTAACACAGAGTATTTTTAAAATGGCATTAGGAAAATTACATCGAAGCTCTTCCAGATTAGGAAGAATTATTTCACGAGCATAGGAGCTTCATTCTTTTTTCTTTTTTTTTCCTTAAGCTGTTTTAATGCAATCAAGTCTGACAGTCCCTTCCAGGCATCTGTTGTTCTCAGCATTACTCTGTATTCGTTTACCAGACAGTCTGCCCTAGTTCTTACCCTGAATTTATTGGCCAGATTTTTGTTTACAATAAAGGCAAGTTAAAGACTACATGAAAGCTGAGAGTGGTGCTACTACGGCATTCACAGCTGTATACAAAAACATTATGAAAAGGTCTTTTTTTCTCTTGCATTCAGAAAGCGTGCATGAAAGAGCTTTGCATCCTACACTTTGTAACAGGATTTATATAACTGGTGAAACTATAACTAAATACTTGAGAATCACGGATTCAGAGTGTAAAACAAAACATGTTAAGAAGGTAAATCTGTTTAAGAAGGGTATTTTTGATGAAAGGAGATGTACATTGTCACAACAAATTATGTAAACGTGAATGGGCACTTCACAGATTAGGGAGGGACCTACTGAGAACGTGCCATGGGAAGGGGCACATTCCTGACGGCGCTGCACAGTAGAGGAAACCCTTTTGGCAGATGTAATATTACTTAAGTCAGCAGGTAAATGAGCAATAGATTGGAGGGGAAAATATATGTAGCGCATCAATACTTGCAGCAGTTCTCTTCAGGGGCAAAGGCTGGCTGCTTGCTGAGGGCTGAGCCTGCTGACCCTTCCCTGTCCTATTCTTCTGTCCCCTTCCTGACACCTCCTCCCCCACAGCCTACCCTTCCCAGTCCCTCCCTTCCTTTCAGTGAGTCAGTGCCAGCTCTTTTCCTGTGGATTAATCTCCTCCCTCTCATTAAGCCCCTCTTCACCGCTGCCTGTGCCTGTTTTAGTCACAGTCGGGCCATGGGTCCACGCTCTCTTTAGGAGCTGATGTTCTTGGAGCTGTCGGGAGAGTCCACGCTGTGCTGCATCAGCAGTTCTGCATCAAGCCTTCCCCTGCATGGGGGAAATTGGCTGCCTGTTCTAGACAGGTTTCAGTTGGGTTAATTCACTGGTCAGTATACAATACAGAATCACAGAATCTCATAGGGTTGGAAGGGACCTCTGGAGAGCATCTGGACCAACCTCCCTGCCAGAGCAGGTCCACCCAGAGCAGGTTGCACAGGAACTTGTCCAGGCTGGTTTTGAATGTCTCCAGAGAAGGAGACTCTGCCACCTCCTTGGGCAGCCTCTTCCAGGGCTCTGCCACCCTCTAAAATTTAACGGCAATAATAACCTAATGGAAATACAGCTATGCTGGCTTACTGCAGTCATTTTAAAAGTAACTTAATTAAATGCCCTACCTAAATAGATGAAACTTTTACATGTAGAGATGTCCTGAGAAAACAGCTGTTTGCAAATCCCCTTCAAATTACCAACTGACTCCTGTTACCCACTCATGCAGGCAAGAGGTGGAAGAGGGTTATCCACCAAGAAGGAGGTATAACAAGCAATAGTTTTCCCAATAGACACTTAGGACAAGTCACCATCAGCTCAGTCCTCGTCCTCCTGATTTTCCCCACCTACAAAAGACAGTAAAGGCACCAGCTTCTCTGTTGTGCCACTCCATCTTTTCCTGTTTGGTTTGCTCACTTGATTTGGCTTTTCTCGATAAGCAAGACTTTATAACTTGCATACCAAATTCATAAAACGTCTGGGCGTTAAAATTTCCCAAATGTGGTAAATCTTGTTAGTTTTTAAAATGAAGCCTGCAAGAATACAGTTGCCTCTTAAGCGGGCAGTTCCACTGAAAAGCAGACTGCAGGCGTTTTATTATCCGCTGGATGAGTGGTCCAAGAAGCACATTGTTATACTGGTTTATGTTTGTTTTGTATGACATATTAAACATAGCCAAAAGTTACCTAAATACTGCTTTTTTTGTGTACTGGCTGCAAGAAGAAAACCCCGTATGGTCGGAAGCCACTAAAATACAGGAAAGATTAGTGAATATCAACTGACATCCGTAAATGGCTTGCAAGCAAAAATAGGCACGCCGTTTATGTTGATAAGGTGGACCATTTGTATTCGTTGTTCTGACAGCAAAAATACATAGTCATTAGCGTATTACTGTTGACAGTTCCAAATAAGCCCTGACTGGCTGATTAGGCAGCATGTCGTGCTTTTTCGAGGCACGTCTCGAGGCCTTTTGAGCAGAAAAAGGAGAGTTTTATACTTTGAATTCGTGACGCAAAGCGTTGAGCGGCCTTATTGCTTTTGAAGTGTCAGTAGCATTCCCTCGCTGTTTGAGGTTGCCCAGTGAGCTGGATCAAGGGACCCATGTCTTCAAAAATAAACAGGCTGGTTTCCTGCCTTGGCAGCCGCCTGCCGCGGCGGTGCCAGGGGCTCCGAGAAGCGCCGTGCTCCGCCACAGCAGGCAGGGGATAGGGTTTCTCGGAGCTGCCCTTGCTGCCAAACTTTTTGCAGGGCGATACTTTGGCCTTGGATTCAGAAACCGTTAAGCCACTCTCAGTTAACGTTTAATTGCGGTTTACATCTCCTTGCACCAATAATTACTAGCTTTACAACGTGGCTGCAGTATTGTCTTCTTCACTAGAAATGTAAGTCGACTTTTGCTTCCATAGAGTGAAAAAATGGTTGAGACCTTTATAAGGTGCAATCAGTATATGGGAAGGCTTCAGATTCCGAGGAACGTTCCTTCCATAGTACACATCCCGATAAGTGGCAATGACAACAACAAAAAAAATAAAATCAATTATTATCTAGAACCCCAACACTTGAATCCGCAGCTACCGAATATCCCACTAGTGGCTCTCTGAATCCAGAGTAGTGGAAGAGTCCCAAGATCTGCATCTTGATAGTTCTGATCCAATAAAAACGTTAATATATTTTTATTAAGGAAGACTCGCTTGAAGTTTATGAAAGTTGGTTTTATGTAAAGGTGCTGAGAAAATCTGTTACACAGAGCTGGCTTCTCTGAAGTGCTGCAGTGTGCTATTTGAAGTAGAGGAAAGATTATTGAAAATGAAAATGTATTATACTGGACAAAGATAAGACAGTAATTGTAAAATTTGCTTATTTCCTATAGTGTGTTGCCAGTGTCTGGAACCTGAACTGTAGAAAAGTGTTCGTGAAACTCTATTTTCACGAAGGTCTTTTTCAGAAGAACTAGACTTACTTTCCTAGAGCCACTATCTTTCTGCTGCAGATTGCACTGGCAAATTATCATTTTGCTGGCTTTCAAAAATACATTATGGAACAAAACTTCGGTGTTGACTTGAATCAGTTTGTGGGCTTTTTGGTGTTTCGGGGGTGTGTGTTGGTTGTTGAGGGGTTTTTTTTTGTTTTTTTGTTTTCCTTTTTAAGATCGCAGTCAGGATTAGAGTGACTGAATGCCTAAGTGCAAGCCTGCAGAGATTCCCTGGCTTGTCACTTGCACAGACTGAATGCCAATGAATAGAGACCTCTGTTCAGTAATTTTAAATAATCCCATAAAACATCCATATATATTCATCCTGTGAAAACTACTTGTTGATGTTGACAATGGCTTTTCCCCCCTCTCTTCCTTTAGACAGCTTGCTTCCGAGAAGAGAGAAATGTCTTGGTGAACGGAGATTGCCAGTGGATTACTACGTTGCACTACGCCTTTCAAGATGAGAACTATTTGGTATGTTTGATTCATAACAAGTAAAAGCTTTAGCTTATGAAAGAACTTTATTTTTGGTACATTTAAGGATATTGGCGCAATAAATCAGTCCACCTCATGCCTCACAGCAGTGTTTCAACATTCTTGTTTTCTCCTTGAAGAAAAACTTCAAAGGACTGACTGTAACTCCAGGAGAGTGAGGAATTGTATAGTACTACAGTATATAGAGGTTTAGTTAAGCATCTTAATTTAACTGATCTACCCTTGCATAAAATATATCCTGCTTAAGTTTAATGTTTTTTGGATAACATTGCAATTATATAATATGAGGTGTTAACTCCATGAAAATAAGAAATATTTTCATTTTATTTTAAACTTTCAGAATGTCTTTTGAAGTAAGATTTTGTTTAAAAATTGCAAAAGTAATTTAAAATTTTATTTAAAAAAATGATTAAACTGATATTTTAAAACCCTCAGGAAAAAAAATAGCCTATTTCTTAAAAATATTTAAATAAAATAACCTTTTTAAATCAGGAGATCGGTTATCTCTGTAGTTCGAGAGACTTTAGCAACTGTTTATAAAGAAAGTCATTACTCCTAATACATTTTTTTTAATGATGGGTTACTAGAATTATATCATATGAGCTATGTTAGCCTTAGTCACAGAAGTCAGGAGAGTGCTGGTCAGGAGCAAAATCAGTAAAGCCCCAACATACTATAGCATATTGAACCATACAGCTTCCGTGCTGCTCCTTCAGGCTTGGTTTGCAAACCTGCTATTTCTGTGACAACAAACAGAGTTCTAAAGTAAAAGTTTTACACCTTCTTAACGCTTTTAGATACAGTATCACAGTAGAAGGTCATGATTATAAATAGAAAAAAATGTACTGTTAAAGGGTGCCAATGAGTTCAGGAACTAAGTATATGAAGGAGTTTGAGGATACTCAAACTTTTTCACAGGTGCTGAAACAAAACAAATTATTGTGACTGTCATGAATAACAAGCACATCATCAGCAAGTAAGCAGTAGACTCTCAGACACTCATTTACAGGCTGTTTCCGTTGAATGCTTTGTGATAGACCCAGATTTTCAGCCTCTCAAAGTTTAGTTATCTCTAGCACCTCCTCGTGAACATAGCTCAAAATTTCAAATTCCCACAGAACCAAACAGCCTTTAGTCTTGCATAAAAATAACCTAAGACATCCTATAACGTCATATTTCCAAGTAGCTCCTAAGAATGGAGATACCTAAAAAAAATTGTTAGCTGTGCAAGATAGCAAGCCATAGTAAGGACAGTATAGAGAGGTATCTAGGGTTGCTAATACCATTTTATTCAAATCTGTTCCAAGCAAGTTATAGCAATATAACACATTTCTTTTCCCTAAGTTCCCAAAGGCATTTAGATGTTGCAGTTTCACTTGACAGCAGAATTTAGACATCTAGCATCTAATTTAAGACCCAGTATCTAAGAAAGCAACAGCTCTGCCTGGCAGCCAAAGCCAGCAGATTCCCAGCTTGCCTGAGGTCTGGTTCCACGTGTGCCGAGATGCTGCCTTCCAATTTGGGCTGTTACTCAGCATCCACCTCATGGAAGTGTCTGGTGCTCACAGATGGAGTCTATCTGCATCTCAGTCACGCTATTGTAAATGATGCATGAAGAAAAGGTGAAAACACAGCAGGAAGTGACTTTCATCCAAAAACCTGGAGAGAAGGTTCTCTTCTGTCTTAGTGCTTCACTTGTCCGAGTGACTTTCATCCAAAAACCTGGAGAGAAGGTTCTCTTCTGTACTGTCTTAGTGCTTCACTTGTCCAGGGGCTAAAAGATCTCTTCAATTCCCTGCTCAGCTTGAAGAAGTTTATAGCTATGTTTTTCCCTATCTTGAGAGAGTGCTGCCGTGTTACAGAACCTGGGCAGATTGGGTTTACTTTCTAGCTGTGCTGTTCATCCTTGATCCTTGTAGAACAGCATGCAAAGCTGAGAACAAAACAAGAACAGACAGCAGAGCTTGATTCTCCAACCTGGAGTGGACATTGATCCTCTGAACGAGAAAGCTCTAGGTTCTGGTGTCTGCTACCAGTGATGTTTGTGCATTATAGCTAGTGTTTCTAAAATACAAAACTGTGTAAGCTGACCCTAAAGCAGAGAGAGAACCTTGGTGTCTTCCCACACCTAGGGCTTTGATGTCCACTTCTGGCTGCATGATAAGGGGTTAAGAACATGAAAAATAAAGAGAAGGTAAGATGTTAAGGTAGAAAAGTGGTAGATGCCGTTGGAGAGTCTAGAAGTAATTGTGGTTTTATTCCCTCTATTTAATATTAGTAGAACATGGGATGATGCAGAACTTAAATATAAGCAAGAAACACAAAATGTTCATTTTCTGGTTCTGCACCTGTAGTTCTTCTTGGTTTAGAGGCAAATACACCATGTGGTAGTGTTTTCTAAACTACCAACTCTTACATGACATCACATGGAAATGCTAGCGTGGCTTTTTTCTGGTTCTTAGAAAGCTTTTGTAGAGACAGTTTGATGGGTCAAGTAAGCCTTTGGTGATTTGGCTGAAGCAGATACAGTGTAGGTAAAACATAGTCCATAAATATTAGAAACTCTTATGTGACCTGAAGTTCTTGATCTTCCAGATGCAAATCTGATAGTGTTTTTGTGACTTACCAGAAAAATTTTCTTTGCCCTTCTCATGAATGAGACCAGGATATGTGTGTTTGTCTGCTGTCAGCCTCTTAAAGGCTTCTGAGTATTCATGAGAGTATTTTGATGTATTTTTTTTCCTTTGTTTTCCAACTACTCTCCCTCTGTTTGATGCAGTCACTTCTCTGAAAGAAATGGGATACCTCTAGATTTTAGCGTCAGAATAGCCTTAATTTTAACCCCATGCAAAGGGAGACGTGCCTCCAGGCAAGAAGATCTTTGTGAATTGGAAGATGAATAGAATTTGACTTACTTATAGAAGCGGTCTCACCATCTTCCTCTGATCCAAGTGCCTCATTTCATGGGTCAGCTGAGTTCTTGCTGAGTTATGAACGCTGTGGGAGCTGAGAGAAGTGCATTACCTTGTCTCTTTGGCAGGCAGGGTATTTCAGCTCCCACAGAAGGCTCTGTAAGTTCTCTTAGCCTTGAATTTAAGAGAATATGCTTTAATAGAATATCCCTTTTAAAAGGTTACTGGTTTCTGTCTGTAGCCTTTTGTTTTCAAACATAATTGTTGCATGTGTACAGTGTTCCAACACATTTAAAATTCCTCGATGGATTGTGCAATATGGACTGCATGATTTCGACATAAGTGCTGAAATTTGCCTATCAGATTAAGCTATAATTTGAATGCGATGGAGAAAAATATCAAAACCTATGCCATTTGGTGTTGCTCTTTTAAGCCAAAAGTTAGTGAGGAAATTATTAGTATTGCACTTTATGTTCTTTTTGGGTTTCTATCTTCTTTAGTTTACTTCCCATGTGAACGATGAATCTGTGGCAGGGACAGTAGGTTGTAGGTTGCTTTGCCTTGAGGAGAAAAATAAGATGACTGCTTTGGAAGGTTAATTCCAGAGTAAGCAGTTATTCCTGAAACCATGTATCATATCATCTTGTAGTACTAGGTAAAGTCATTATACTTTAAAAGATGGTTTGGATTTAGGTGGATGTTGCTAGGAAATAACTAAATGAAATCCTCATTTTGTGGTATGGGAGACAAACAGCAAGTTTCTTTCATGTTACTTTATCCCTATTGGTCCTTTCTGTGGACAGGGTAAGGGCTGAATGGCCTAGGAGGCTGTTTACTTTTTAATTGAAATATATTTAAAAGAACATTAACATTTGATTTTTACATTTCCCACTCTATTGCCTCTGGCTTGACAGTGCTTCTGGCTTGTCATGGGCATTCCTAATGTATAGTGTCATCAAGCCCCTGCCAGCTATGATATGCATCCATGATGTGGCATGTGCCAAGATGTGTATTTGAAGATGTTGATATGATAAGTCCCACTTTCAGAACAGCTAGTAGTATTGAAATGGTACCAAAACCTAAAAGTAGTAACGAAATGTATATTTTAGACTAAGCTGTGTCAAGTATTGTTTTTAACTATAGTTTCTTCTTCCTGAATCATCTGGAAATTCTCCGTTTAAGGATTGACAACCTGCATTAGTTCGGGTGATACTAGATCATTCTTTTTGTGTCTGTAATTAAGACAGAAATAAACTCACTTAGACCTACTTGTTTGTTGCTACCATATCATGGTTATGGGATGGTTTTTGTATGGTAAGAACTGAATGCTGATGTGTCTTCCTTACTGTGATTATTAAAGGAATATGATATCTTTTTACACTAAATAGGCAAATAAAAGTAACGCAGAAAATTACCAATTTTGACAACTTTCTCCAGGCATAGAAAAAAATTTATGAGAGGTTTTTTTGGGGGGATTAGCTGATGAACTTTAATTTCTTTTTCCTTACCAGCTGTCTCAATACTTGACTGCTTTATCTCTCCCTTTTCAGTATCTAGTGATGGACTACTACGTTGGTGGTGACTTACTGACACTTCTCAGTAAGTTTGAAGACAAGCTTCCTGAAGATATGGCTAGGTTCTACATTGGGGAAATGGTGCTTGCTATACATTCCATACATGAGCTGCATTATGTGCACAGGTAAAATACCGTCTCACTTGGCAAAAAACCCCATGTACAATTATATCAAGTTAATCCTAAAGATATTGCTACATATACAAATGGGCACGGTAGCCACAGGCAAGCTATTGTGGGTACTTGCTTACTATATACTGTATAATAGCTGTATAAGCTAATACATTTTAAATATCAAGTTTTGATGGATTGATATTAGAAGCAGTGACATTTACCTCACTAACCTTTTACTAAAGCTTTTCTCTTTAATCAAGCTTCTTGACTTATTCTCAATTCACTCCATGAATATTTGTCTGCCTTTGCCCAAGCCGACCTAGAAGTTTGAAGCAGTTTGAGTTCTCTGCAAATGTTTAGACATTCTTCTGCAGAAGCTCTGCACAGTGAGCCCATGATAACATCAGTGGCTGTATTTACCACAAATGGTTTTTGTAATGAGTGAGCATGTGCCGGTCTAATTGCTTCTACACACAGGATGTATATTCCCCATCAGTGCCTACCGTTGTGTTAAGTCAGGTTGTGTTCTGTAGTAGTTAAGAATATAAAATATTCCTCATTCTCTGTCAGAGGAAACGGGTCAGGAAGGCAGAGTACACTTTGTACGCTTCCTCTGTTTTGGAAGAACTGTGAATAGTGCAAGGGAGACACTCGTTAAATGTTTTGTTTCATCATTACAGGAGTCTTGATCAAGTGAAAATTTCTATCCTTTGTTTGCATTTCAGATTTAACAACTGTGTGTGATCTGTCAATTAGAAAGCCAAGCTAAATGAATTCAGGAAACCTTTGCGGTTGTCTCTTTATATGCTCACTTTATGGCTTGATTTCAATAAACAAAGTTAGAAAATACAGAGTATTAGAGTAGAGAGGTTTTTCAGTTAACTGAAAACTATTTATGGCCGTATGAATAGGTTCAGTGAAAGTCCTGGCTGCGGAGAAGTGGACTTCATAGTAGCTTTTGATCAGGTACATCTTGGTCAGGTCCTTTTACCTCTTTCTGCCTTTATTTCTTAGTCTGTGAGATAAGGACAGTTTTACTGCCTCTTTTGTGAAACTTGCAGGTGAAAGCCATTAGGTAAGTAAGGTGGTTTTTATTTACAATTAGTATTTAGAAGACACCAGGGATTCTCAAACTGTAATGCTTTGAATTCTTCTGTTTGGATTTTGATCTCTGGTAAAAAATTAGGAAGAGAAAAGACACATAAACTCTGTAGTACTCCGGTGAGTAAATGTGGACAGTATGGGGGGGTGGGTTTAAAATGTTTTGGACTCAGAGAAGTTCACCAGAGGCACCATTGCAGCCATTTCTGAGGAAGGGGCCCTGACTAACTGACCAGCTACATCTTTGCATGGGGCTGAAAGAACGTCTCTTGTGGCAGTAGGAATGAATGGCTCTCGAGGCCAAAACAAGCACTTTGAATAGGAGATGTATGAATGCCCAAGAAATTACTGCTTGGCAACTGGAATGGATTAGGAAGAAGCATGATTGCTCTGGAGAGGATTTCAAGGACCCTTTAAAGGCTTATATGACCTGTTAGCTGTAGATAGGAAATGGTGGAGCTCGGAGAGGAGGCATTAAGCTTTTCTGAACAGAAACAGTGTTCCCTTAGGCGAAGCGAGATCTGCATGCAAAGCAGAAAAGCAGAGATGCGTTCGATGAGGTTGGCTCGTGCTTCCAATGGCAGTGAGCCCTGTTCTTTAAAAAACAAACAAACAAATTGTTGTAGATAAGCTTTATTAGTCCTCTGCACTCACTGAACTTGACTTGTGGTTATGGAACCATAAAAGTATCTTGACAGTCTGTGGAAGTGCAATGCATGAAATAAGTTTAACCATAGAAATTTACTAGTGAGTTTATCGGAAAAGCATAATCAAATGGTCTGGTTTTCTGGGTTAGCACGTATTTTTGTGTATTATAACAAGTCAATATGCATTTAACTTATGTTGACAGGCATAGATTAGCATTTACTATTTTGTCTTAATACTGCTAATGAGCAGCGTTATTAGTCAAGTTTCATTAATTAATTTCAAAGCATTAGCCCTTGTTTAAAAAGCGTTAATTCAAGTTTGTGTTGGAAAAAATTATCAGATTGGCAGGATTTTTACACATATGAGGACCTTTTGTTAAATCTGTGTTGGAAAAAATTATCAGATTGGCAGGATTTTTACACATATGAGGACCTTTTGTTAAACCTGTCGTGGTTTTCCTCATAAGCCTCCTCAAGTGTGAAACTGTGGAATTCAGCACCCTAAAAATCAGACATTGTCAACTTTCACATCTACATAGCAAGGGGTGTTAGAGCATTTTTTTTTTTTTCATTGTTCCTAGTAATTCTGGTTTCTTCCTCAAAAATTAAGCTGAAGCCATTGTACAGTTTTTAAGTTTTTGAGCACAAGTAGTGGCATTTGGAACTTCCTATTTGAAAAGCAATATAGTGTTGTATGGTGCAACAAGATTAGTGGATTTAATGTAAAGTACATGTGGTTTTATTTATTACTAATAGATAGTATTATTTGACTAAATATGTTATCTAAAGAAAAACCCAAATCAACACATTTATTGGTTTGGTTATCTTTTTTGGCAAGCTCAGGTAAATAATAGTATTTCAAAATGGCATGGTGATAGGCTACCATGTTGGGAGCTGATCCTGGATGGTGTTGGCTACAGAAAGTGATGGAGACTGGTATATGTTACCTTGGAAGACATGGATGTTCTTCTTTTTATCCTGCAGAATTGGTGCATAACTGATTTGATTCTGTTTTCTGCACTTGCTCTTCTTTCTTCCTTTCTCACCATCTTCCCAACACACTGGCTAAGTGCTCTTAAAATCATTTGAGATATTTTGAGGCTATTAATTTGGGAAAAAAAACCCCAATATAGTACATATCAGGACTGTCTTATTAAGTTGTCTGGATGATTGATCTTTTACTGATACTTTGTGTGAATTTGAGTACAAAGTTATGAAATAGTGTGGCTAATTGGTGGACTAAATTCAGTTAAGGTGCTCTTCAGTAAATCCTTTTTGGCTGCCTTCCTGATATCAAAAAGAATATCAAGTAATGAAATGGGAATCTTAGTTCCATGTTATTTAGTAGCCTTGGCATGCTGTACACCATTTATACCCTGCTATATATATATATATGTAATAATAGGAAGGACTTGTTTTGATATTGGAGACTTTGTAATGTTACTCTATCCTGTTGAAATGGCATTGCCCTGATCCCAGACCTGGGGTAACTCAGTGGCTTGTAGAGTAACTGCTGCATGTACACGAGACCCAGAGAAGCAAATGTGCTGTGCAGTAGCGTATAGAAAGTCTTAGAATCATAGGATGGTTCGAGTTGGAAGGGACCTTAAAGATCATCGAGTTCCAACCCCCCTGCCATGGGCAGGGACACCTTCCACTAGACCAGGTTGCTCAAGCCCCATCCAGCCTGGTCTTGAATAGCAAGTGAAAAACACTGGCCAACAGAAATACTAGGCAAAATTTAGGGAAGTAGTAAAAAAATCTTCCTAGATAAGAAGTTAGAAGTTGGTTATAAATCTTGGAGAAAAACATGAGATTAAAAGATTGCCTTTTCTCTTTTGTCTTTCCTCCCTTGAAACAATATATTGTAACACACATAATCTGAAGATGATGATGAAGTAAACTACCTATCTACCATCAGTCGTATGACTCACCGTAATTGTTCTGCTTGGTTATTTGACTATTCAGAGTTCAACTTTGAGCCGAATCTCTGATGCAATCTAAGGTTTCAATATTGCAGGCAAAGTTGTAAGTTCACCAGGAAGAGAGGGTCATAAATACTGCAATAAAAAGAGTTTGCATCCGTGGGTATCCAACATAAATTTCTTTGTTACTCTGATGCAAGGCGAATCTTTACAAGCAAAGCTAATGTTATGTATTTAAATCATTTTAATTCTTTCTATTTTAACAGGGATATAAAGCCTGATAATGTTCTTTTGGACATGAATGGCCATATACGACTGGCAGACTTTGGGTCCTGCCTGAAAATGAGTGAAGATGGCACAGTACGTATGAAGCAAAATTTAATTGGGTCGCTGGTAGTGGGACCTTCTCAGTGAGTTGCTGGTCTTAAAGCTATTCGATATTGCCAGCCTGCATCGTGGAGGTGACAGATTGTAAGCTTATTGACGTGCTAAAAATTGAGGGAATTGTGTAACTGAACATACTTACAAAAACATTTTTGACATCTTAATCTCCTTGTTTTACATGTAGCTACCATTAAAGTTATCCTTTGATAAACATATCCTTTGATATGTTTCTCTGCCTTTTGTCTTTTCTCCTGCTGGACATTTGAGTTCTGATGAGATTTTTATGAACTGTCCAAAGACCCTTTGTTAAAAAAGGATATTTATTTATTTATGTGTAGGAATCAGAGATGACCAGGAAACCGAGAAGCCATGATAGACTTAAAAATATAAGTCATCCAAAATGAGGAGATAATTAATAAGCAGTTTGCCAAACTGTGGCATGCAACATCGTTTAACGATTTTGGCACAAACTCAGGTCTTGGTGACGTTGTGTAGTCATAAAAGGCCTGCCAAGGATTGACCATATTAAAATGCAGACTGGATGGGAAGGAGTTATAACTGGATATGACTCCTGAGAACATATTCCTAGAGACGAGACCTGCTCTGCCATTGCCCTGATGGTCAGGGCTTCCCTACTGCTTGGGCACAGAGCAATTCCCCACCTTACCCCTGTATTGCATCCAGTTGCACATTGTGCAGTAAGCATTAAACCAACATCTGACATAATAAAATAGGGGAGTACTTGCCCAAGGACCTTGGTTTGTGATCTTTAAATGAAGCTGTAAACTTGGGCATAGCACTGAACTCCCCACGTCATCATTTTTCATTTCAACTTCTGGCAGCCAGTTGCAATTCTAAAGTATAAACAGACACAAAGGCAAAACATTTTCTCCTATTGTCTTCCTGCTGTTTTGGGTTTCCACTGTGTTCAGAATACAATATATTAGCTGATTTTATGTAGAAGTGGACTGGAACTTAATCTTTGTAGTCCATGTTACTTCCTTAATATTTTCTTTATTGCTGTGATTTTTATGAATATCTCCCTTTCCCAAATCACATCCTGGTCTCTCTTTGTCAGAAATACTACTGTCTGAGTGAGAAAGTTGCTGAGAGAACCTGAAAACTTGAGAGAATTATGTTTGCCTTGTTTTTCAGGTACAGTCTTCAGTAGCAGTGGGTACACCTGACTACATCTCTCCGGAGATTCTGCAAGCGATGGAAGATGGAATGGGAAAATACGGGCCTGAATGTGACTGGTGGTCGCTGGGTGTCTGCATGTATGAAATGCTCTATGGTGAAACACCCTTTTATGCAGAGTCATTAGTGGAAACCTACGGGAAGATTATGAATCATGAAGTAAGAGCTGTATTAAACATTTATGCATTCACTGAGCTTATGATGTTTACAGAGAAACTGTTATCACTTAAAGATAATCAAGTGGTGGTAGTTCTTTGCTTTTTCACGGTGGTTTAGAACCTTATTGTCTAGGTTTGTTGGTTCAGGTTTTAGGAATGTTTACTTCTCTGACCTGCAGAAATTGAATTATTTGTCAAATTGAAATTTCTCTCTTAATGCTGATCTTGTTCTTGTTGGAAAATCTAAGCAGGCATCACAAAATTGGAATTAAAACCAACTCTCGTGTTAGGCCTAAAGTTTCCTCTGGGCTGTGCAGGAGAAATGAAGTAACGTATTATTTACACAGCTGAGCACATTTTCAGTCACATTGATAACAGCGCAAAAAAGGGAATAGGCAAGTCATCCAGTGTCAATATGAGCTGCATGAGGAACATGAGGTTTGGGGGGATTCCCCAGAGTGGAAGCGGAAGAAAAACATGAACTTGAGCTGCATGAAGAATGTAACATCAGGGAGTTTGTCCAGGGTGAAAGTGGTAGAGAAGTGTTGGAACTTCTGGGTGCGTTTTGAACACGAGGGAATAAGAAGAAACACTTTGTGGTGTCCTTTCAGGGGCTGTGTTAGGAGGATGTGTTTATGTGTGTATTCATCCTAGGCAGCCAGAAGCTGTTGCGTAGGCTGTAGTGTTGCATTTTCTTCTCCCCAGGATGAGTGCAGTTTACTGTTGTTTACAATGCTCTGCTCTCACAGTGAAGCAATGATGATGGATAAGGCAAGAAATCATTGCCAGAGCTGACACTCTTGCTGTGATTAATATTAATCTCTCTTTTGCTTCAATTTCTTCAGTGAAGTAGCTGGTTGCAAATATAGTTAGTGTAAACTATGGCTACCTGACTCTTTAACTACTTGGGAGGAAATTTGAAGCTGCAGACTTAATTTAATTTCATTTGGACACACAATCAATATGATTGTGTGCTTTTCAATGGAACTTTTAATGTTTAATTTCAGTTACGCTGGTTTTAAACTTGAAGAATTGTATTATAAAAAGATATATACGTGCTATTATCCTTTATTGAAAAACAAAACAAAAAAAAATCTAACCTTCCCTTTTTGACTGTGCAGTGATAGTAGTACCAAGCTAAAATCCAAAAGTTTCTTGCGATTTTTATCTAGAGTAATTTCAGATGTTAGTTGTAATTACAATTTTTAAATCTTAGGTTTGTTTATGATACTCGAAATCTTTGTAAAACGTAGATTGGTAAGAAAAGCAGGTTTTTAACCTGTAAAGTGGAAAAAGACATCCTTAAATACAAAAAAGTTTTGTAAAGAATTGTCTACCATTATGGTTTTTTAAGGAATTGAAATTAATAATATCTCAAGGAGTAAATCTTCAGGAGCTCAGTGGACCTGTGACTAAGAATACCAGGGAGGATCTGCCTTTATTGTAGGATCTTCAATATATTGTAGTGTGTCAGTATTCCTGTATGTCTTTTTAAAAAAGTTTGCTTTTTCCAGTAGAGTTACTCTAATTGCAGTTAGTTTCAAATAGATTTGTATAAAAGAAATTGAAAGGTGATTACTTGGTCTTAAAATGTATTTCAAGGATGCAAAAAATCTATTACTGAATGTATCACATTGTGCTCTGCCACTGCTCGCTGGAACTGCGAACGTGTTTGCCTATTCATTTCCAGTTTTATTGCTGTAATTTAGCATGTTCTTCTTGAAACTACCGTTGAAAGTTATGGAATGGATTCCTTCTCTAAAAATTTCTCTGTTTGTTTTGTTCTCTAGGAACGATTTCAGTTTCCATCCCATGTTACAGATGTGTCTGAAGAAGCAAAAGATCTCATTCAGCGCCTGATCTGCAGCAGGGAACGTAGACTGGGACAGAACGGAATAGAGGATTTTAAGTCTCATGCATTTTTTGAAGGACTTAATTGGGACAACATCCGAAACCTAGAAGCACCTTACATTCCAGAAGTTAGCAGTCCTTCTGACACCTCGAACTTCGATGTAGATGATGATGTATTAAGAAATCCAGTGAGTCTTTGTTTTTAAATATTACTAATGGAAGTATGCGACCTTGCTGCCCTGTAAGGTAGTTGTGAGAACTTATTTTCAAAGTGAGTAATATGAAAGATGAAAAATAAGTAATTTCAAATGTGAAGAATTCAAGTTTTTAATATCTTTGGCATTTTGAGTTACCAGAAATCATGAGCTGCTATTCTAAATTGTGGTACTTGCCAAAATGGACTACTGTTACATAGTCAAAATTAAAACATATTTAGGTGGAGAAAAAAGCCTTTAGTTGACTTTCTTTTTTACCTTTACAAGGAGGTATTATTTAGATTTATTCCTTTTCAAAGGTCAAAAAAATTCTGTCTTCAGAAATACACATATATTCTCCATGCAGTTTTGCAATCACAGCTGTTCAGGTGAGAGACCTCACACTGCTACTTTTCCACTTACTTAAGAACCAGGAGGATAGTTTTTGGAGTGGAGACCTTCGTGTTCCCCTCCTCCATTTCTGTTGTGTAGTAGTTTATAAAGTCAGGTCAGGAGGAGCAGAGGGCTTTCGTGGTAATTTGTTCATCACCTTGTATTCCAAGAAATGAAGAGCTTTTGGCATGCTTTTTGATTGCGCATCTAACAGTAACTGGCATACTAAAACTAACAGCATGCATTTTGGTGCCAGGTCACTTTTAATTAAGAGCTTGAAATTTCGGGTTTTCTTTTAATGGTTGCATTGTGTTTTGAACGTGTTGAAATGCTGTACTTTCAAGTGCCAGTTCAAGAGGCTCCTAAATTCAGGTCATTATATTAAGCGACCTAATCTGAAATAAAGTTTGTCCAGGGACAATGGAAGGCTCTACTGCCAATTGTGAATTGGAATGTGCTAAGGAAAGTTTTTCCATTAGTTGTTTCTCTTCGACCACTGAGGTTAAATCAAATGCCTTTAGCCTGTATGGGTTGTCGTTTGGGTTTTCATGCAGTTTGTTTTCATGCAGGAAGTGGTGCCACCAAGTTCTCATACAGGCTTTTCTGGATTGCATTTACCATTTGTTGGGTTTACATACACAACTGATAGGTAAGCAAAAGATATGTTGTTCATTATACTTGTTTCTCAAATGCAGCTAATTCTAGGAAGTTGTTGTTTTTATGAACATGTAGAAAGATTGATGTCCATGGGCGTATCTATGGATAAATCCTTCTCCCTTTTTTTTTTATAAGTATCTGAACATACTTTGATCATGCTTGCCAAGATCAGATGCTTTTGTAATTAATACTTAATCTATTTGAATTGAATGAAATTTAAGGGACTAGATGTGTTACTAGGAATTGGTTATAAACGTGCTCTTCCTGCAATGAGTGGCTGAGAGCAAGTCCTGTCCATGTTGTGTGCCCGCCAGGAACAGTTCAGAATTAGCTCACTGCGTTATAAACATGCTCTTCCTGCAATGAGTGGCTGAGAGCAAAAGACATGTTGTGTGCCTTCCAGGAGCAGAATTAGCTCACTGCTCCAAAGTCCTGCTAAGGCTAAGTTTGCCCATCTTTGAAATGGCCTCCATCTGACATCAGACATCCGTCAAACATACACTCGTCTCTGATCTTAAGGTTACTCTGCCCTGTTTGTTATTCCCTCATTTCCCTTTGCCAGGGTTTGTTACCTCCATGCAGTACTGTTACTGAAAGAACCCAGTACACACAGCTCATCCTTTTCAGAGTGAAAATCATGTGGCTTATCTTAAATTCATCTTTGTCACACATGAAACTAAACTTTTGGGTTGTTTCTCAGCTCTCAGTGCACTTTCCATTCTGCTTACTTTGCTGGTAGGCAGTAGTAACCTTTGGCGTAGGAGAGTTAACATTTTCAACCATTCAGGCAGTTTGTACAGCATCATTAAAGTCCTGAATGCAAGTATCTTAATGCTACAGAAGGACACACAGTAGCTAGGGAATAATAACTTTATCTGCCCTGACAGTTCACTCAATAGTAACAATTACTGCACTAATTATTCTTGTAAGTTTAAGGTGCGTCTTCAGTGGAATCCCAGCATGTCGCTGCTGTAGACTGCTGTGAGTATTTATTAAAACATTCTAACTTACGTATTTGTTTTCAGCTCTTTATCTGATAGAGGCACTTTAAAGAGTGCGATGCAGTCTGACACTGTAACCAAAGATACGGATGTACAGCGTGACTTAAAGAACACTTCACAAATTGAAGGCTATGAAAAGAAAATACGGAAATTAGAGCAAGAAAAGCAGGATTTGAACAGAAAACTGCAAGGTTAGTGGTTTATGTTTGTTTGAATCCTTAGTTCTGGTCATTGAGACAAATTGGAATGTATTTTATTGAAAATCTTTTCCTTCCTTTTCTGATTTTAAGAATCTACACAGACAATGCAGAACCTCCAAGCTCCGGTGTGTGTTACGGTAAATACAAGCCGCGATAAGGAGATTAAAAAATTAAATGAAGAAATTGAACGGTTGAAGAACAAATTAACAGGTAAGCCTCTGGCATGGTAATTATAGTGATGCAATTTATTTTGCTACTCCTAGTAACATTATGTACTGTGTTTTTGCAATCATTAGAATTAATGTTCTTGAGATGCTAAGAAAACAAAAGGTTTTTCAAAGACTCATTCAATATTAAGAGGCATTTCAGTTTTTCCAGATGAGCACTTAACTTTTGTTTCCACTTGCTTGGCCTGATAGCGTATACCAGCATGGGGAGTCTAGAGTACAATGGATTGTGTGGATGGGCTCAGTTAAATATTTTGTGTGATTTTTTTTTTCCATAAAAATCCCAGGAGAACCTGTTCTCTTAGTCCTGTTTTTTTGGGGGGAGTGTTGTTTTGGAAGGGTTTTATTTGGAGGCCGGTGTAAGAGACAGTGGGGAGAAAAGACTAGTTGCACTTTAGTAACGTAAGGTGGTGGTGCTGGTAGTGGGATGTGTAATAATGGTTCACATTTAAATATTTCTGAGCTCCTGCTCCTTTTGTGTTTCTGTCTGGTGATGCATTAATTAGGAAGCACTGAGCTTTGCAGGAAAACAAATACTGGCATCTGTCCCAAGAGAAGACTGACTCATCCATATCACTGAAAATCTGTTGCTTGACAATGCTATTAGTTTATCCCTACAAACCTCCTGTTAGTGTCTAATTTTTAAGTGGGAATCAGTGATAAACAAAACAGTAGTTTTGAATCCTAATGACTTGGCTGAGAGGTTTATAGGGGCCTGTAGCAGCATAAGGGAGTTCAGATGCTGAGTTGCTGATGCTGGTTTCCTGCCTGCCCACCCCCTCTGCAGTTTGGCAGTGTACCCCCTTTGTAGGTACATGCATTGCAAAAATCAGCTCAGCTTCCTTACATAGACTATTGTTCCTAAAAAAAGCTATTCTTGTGTATTCTGGAATTAGAGTTGAGTCAAAATAGTTACATTAAGCTGCTGCCTCTGCAAGTGGTTCAGTTTTATCTAGCTCTTCAGCCAATGATATCCTGTTAAATATAAAAAGTAGCAGTATGGTCTGGTTTAAAAAGAAGTAGTATTGGTTTGTGTAGGTTGGGAAGAGGTTTGTACTGACATGGGGAAAGGAATAATACTTCAATCATTACAGCAGTGCTTGGGATCCCTGAATACGTAGGTCCAGTTTCTTGTTCTGCCACAGACATCGGTGGAACTCGAGTGGAACTAGATAATCTTTAAGGTCCTTTCCAACTCTAACCATTCTATGAGTCTGTTATTCCTATAAACAGTCCTTTCCTGTCTTGCTGGACTCACTAGTGACCGACTGTAGCCTTGTTTGTCATATAATGAAAACTATTTAGGAGACAAATTGCTAGAACTGGAATTAGAACAACTTGAGTTTATTTCAATGTTTTCAAGGGCTAGAAGTTGAGTTCTTAAAAAGCAAAGTCTTGTGCTAAGGCTTTGTCGCTTAGACATCACAGTCTTCGGGAATAGTCTTCTTTAATTGGCTGAGAAAATCAAAATTATTTGGAGATGTCAGTGCCCTGAAGTTACCTTAAACAGTCTAACATGGTGGGAATGGGAAAGAAGTTGATTTTCTGAGCGAAGCGTTGCCAGTTTGCTTGAGTAATGTTGCCTGCTTTAATGGTATGAGTTTGAGATCAGTTACTTTTAATATGTATTAATCTACAGATATAAGTAAACTGGAAGGACAGCTTGCAGATGCAGTAGCTTTTCGCCAGGAGCATGAAGACTCTATACACAAGTTGAAAGGACTAGAAAAACAGTGCAGAGTCCTGCGGCAAGAAAAGGAGGACCTTCATAAGGTATTGATCCAAAGAGAGATGTTTAAAAATGGTCATGTGAAGTAATTTTAAATGTTCCTTTTTAAAATTATCCTGAGATGTTAGTGAACCTGTTAATTTCATTGGCAGTACAGTAGTTTTCCAAAGTTGTACACTTTCTTTTATGGAAGCTGATAGACATTATTTCAGATGTGTTCTGCTAGATGGAACAAACACCTAAAGAGTGGGCTTAGTTTAATTGTTTATTCTTAACTGTTTCAGTAGAAGTCAAAAGGCAATCAAGAAAATTTGAAAGGCTTCTCAAGCACTGGAACAGGCTGCCCAGGGAAGTGGTTGAGTCACCATCACTGGAGGTTTTTAAAAGATGTGTAGATGGTGGTGCTCAGGGACATGGTTTGGTGGTGGACTTGGAACTGCTAGATTAATGGTTGGACTCGATGATTTTAAAGGTCCTGTCTAACCTAAATGATTCTATGATTCTTTGATAATATATACAGGAGTTAAACTCAGATCTGTGGCTAGTAATCAGTTCTGTAGATACCAAAAAGCGTGTGTATACGTCTATAGATATATGAAGAAGTTAATAGAGCTAGGTCACTGTTCCAGCTTGAGCCCACTTACTCTTTGCAATGCCAAAAGGTTAACTATTGCTTAAGGCTGAGGATTACTTTTATGTAATTGCTGCATTTATTTACTGTTGTGTAAATTACACCTTTGTTTGCTTTGTAAAATTAACAGTATCTTAGTTTGTCAGCAAAATATTTTGCAGTAAATAGGGCTTTGCATATACTCCGTACCACTTTCAATAATACAAAAAACCACGTTACCTGTATTCAAATAGCTAGTTTTGGAAAAGTCTAGCAGCTGTAGTGTTCATGTGACATTTAGTTGGACCCAAAAGTAATCCATAGGCCAAAATCGCTGGGTTTTTTGCCCACTAGAATTTAACAGTCTCTCGTCTGTCTTTTAACCACTGGTATGGGCTACTTTACCAGAGTGTGTGAATAGCAGAGAAGGCAAATCTGCTCCTCCTGGTTTGAACACATGCCTTTTGGGAAGCTAATGAATGCTCCTGCAGTGCTCCTACCAACGGCAACAATTTTTAGAAGTCCTTTAGCCAATATACATTTGTTCTGTTGTCTAGTTTTGCTCTTTTTCTTATTTTTTTTTTCTCCTATTCTCAAATGATTTTATATAGAACATTCGATTTGTATTTTAATCTTGTTAACTCTTGTTAACTACCTGCTGGAAACAGCTTTTATACTTTCAATTAAAGTATTAGAGCCTCACAGTTTGTTCTAAGGAATCTTCCTTGGTTTTCTGAAGAATTTCACAGGATTTGCTGCAGTGTCTCAATGCTAGTACAGTGTATTTTAGGGCTCCCTTGAATGTGCTGTCTGCTAAAAGGCTCCTTTAAAAAAGGTTGCTGTTGTGCAGGTACGTGGTGATAATCTAAAATTAAGGTATTTAGAAGTGAGGTGGCCCTGTATAATCAAATTTATAAGAAAGACTTCTGGAACACCAAAGGTGCTCTTGGAGTTGCCACAATAACTGCTGTCTTGGTATGTCACTGCAGCTGCTTAGCCACAGGAAAAAAAAAAAAAGTGTAAATTAAGAATTAGAAATAATATTTAGATATTATGTAAGGTGATTGAGCTTTCAAGTCATTCTTATGTAGGTCCAGTTCCTTGCTTCCTGGAAAGACTATACGGAGTTCAAATAACTCTTTTTATAATGTCTTTGTTTAAACCAGCAACTCGTAGAAGCCTCAGAGAGATTAAAGATGCAATCCAAAGAGTTGCGGGATGCCCACCAGCAGAGGAAGCTGGCTGTGCAGGAGTTCTCCGAGCTCAGTGAGAGGATGGGAGACTTGAGGTCCCAAAAGCAGAAGCTGTCTCGGCAACTTCGCGACAAAGAAGAGGAGGTGGAAATGAGCATGCAGAAAATTGATGCCATGCGACAGGACATCCGTAAATCAGAGAAGATCAGAAAAGAGGTAGCTTGATAAAATAGCTAACAATAACATGTTTCAGCCGCTGCTTATTCAGCATCTCCTATGTGATTGTATTGAAAAATTGGGTCTGTTAGCGGTAATTTTCTTTGGGGATTGTATTGAAAAATTGGGTCTGTTAGCGATAATCTTTGTTCATCTGTAAGAAGTTGCCCCGGTAACTCTTCCATGTAACTTTGCTACAGTTCACAAAATAGGCCTTAAATTTGTTTCAAAATATTTTACTGATATATCAGGAAATGAACTGAGTCTTCTTGTACCCAGGCTGATTTTAATCCAGAGGAAACTATTCTTGATACGCCCAGCTTCTTAGTTCTTGTGTTTTGATTCTTGCAGACTCTGACTCATAGTCAGCTTGAAACCTAGAAAGCTTAATGTCTTCATGTGCTTTAAGGTTGGAGTATTCTGTCTTCCTTTGTTTTTTTTTAACTGAGCTTTTCTCTTCAGCTAGAGGTGGGAGTAGTGATACAGGCTAAATATGTGGTTTTCCTTCCTCTGTATTTAGTCACTGTAGAGAATGTCTGTAATATCTTTAAGCAAGCTAATTTCCAATTAGTATTCTAGGCAATTTACAGTTTTACATAAGATGAAGTTGATAACCAGAAGAGGGCATAAGAAACAGCTATTGTGGTTAACCCAGAGTGTTTTAATCACTGAAAAATCATAAAATTTTATGTATTCTCTGGGTGAAGTCTAGAAAAGAAATTCAAGAGCTTTATAAAACATCGCTAGAAAACTTGTAGCAAATTGAAGGGTAGTCTGTGAAAATGTAGTAAGAGATGAAGTTTCTCAGACTTTTATCCTTGAATAAGGAATGGTAGTTAACTGGGAAAGGCAAAGGGCTGTGGCACCTCATCTCTAGAACAGAGTGCAGGAGGCATTCAAGTGTTGTTGCTTATTCAGTTAAATATTCCCATGCAGGGCTCTATAATCTCCTGTCTTTGTTCTTACAAATCCCTCTGTTCTCCCCTTCCTAACAACCGTATCAATCTTCTAGTCAGAAGATGGTCTGTAAGTTCATTATTTTGGCCCACAATTCTAAATACAGTCCTTTTATAAACAACATTGCAAGTTGAATCTGAATGCAGAAAAGCAAATCTTACTCTTCCTGTCAGGTTTTAAAACTGTGCCACTCTTGTTTGAGTTGCAACAGTTGCCTTAGTTGCCACTTAATCTAAATTGTCTTTCTGATAAGCTGTCTGAAGTCGATAAATGGATGATCAAGCTTATTTTGTTCCATAATTGCAAGGTGAAAGTGTTCAGTGTTTGTATTTGAAGTGTTTTGCAATAATTTGGCTCAAAGGTTGGGATTTGTAACCTGCCTTAGTAAATACTGAGGCATACAGCAAGGTGAAAGTGTTCAGTGTTTGTATTTGAAGTATTTTGCAATAATTTGGCTCAAAGGTTGGGATTTGTAACCTGCCTTAGTAAATACTGAGGCATACAGGAGGTGACCTGTAAATGTGGGGGATTTTCTTCTTTCACGGCTGCAATGACTTCGTAGTGCCATTTCCTTCTCTTGGCATTGACAGAAGCCCTGCAGTTATCCCTGCATATATTTGGTGTAGTTCATACCAGTACATATCAGTACATATCAGTTCATATCAAAAAGTCATGTAGTAATAGTTCTACTGCATGACACGGATGGATGCCTGACTCACTGAAGGCAAAACAATTACCATGACATTCTGAGATGATTGTTACAGAAACAAGGAAAACTTGCTGCTCCTCCTGATGGAGGAAATGAAATGAATGATAGAGGTATATTGAAATGACTAAAAATTCCTCTTGTTACAGCTGGAAGCCCGACTTGAAGAAGTTGTAGCAGAAGCATCAAAAGAACGCAAGCTTCGTGAGCACAGTGAGACCTTCTCCAAACAACTGGAAAATGAACTGGAAGCTCTAAAGGTTACTTGTTTTTTGACAAACGTTTACTCATGGCACAGGAGCTGCAATAGTTTCGCTTACTCAACTGTTGATACCTGTGGGAGACTTAAAAACCACAGCATTACTAGAAACCTGCCCTAAACTATTCAGATTTATTTGCTTTTTTGCTTGAAAGACTTCAGTATCTTATTTCACTGAATTTCACTGAATTTTTTTAGAGTTGGAAGGGACCATAGAGATCATATTGGACACTAATGTTTTTTAAATGTCCCATTTATATAAATTCTAAGCAGATCCTGAATCAGCGTTGTCCAAATCTGTTCTCTCTGCAACCCATTTGAACCTCTTATTAGAGTTGTGTAAACAGAGCAGTCACTTATGGGGCTTAATGCTTGGAGACTGACATAGGCACCTTTTAAATCACTCAGTGCCCAAATAAAAAATTTTCCCAAGTGCCACCAATCGGACAATTCTAGATTTAAATAATATTCCCCAAATTTAAAGACCGTAGTCTCTTCCTGACGGTTTTTCTTCTTCTGCAGCTGAAGCAGGGAGGCCGGGCAGCAGGTGCCACACAAGAACATCAGCAGGAGCTTTCTAAAATTAAGTCTGAGCTGGAAAAGAAAATCCTTTTTTATGAAGAAGAGTTGGTCCGACGAGAAGCCTCACATGTTTTGGAAGTAAAAAATGTGAAAAAGGAAGTACATGATTCAGAGAGTCACCAGCTTGCACTGCAGAAAGAGATAATGATATTAAAGGATAAATTAGAGAAAACAAAGCGAGAGAGGTAAGTTTTTGGGCATGACTCATTAACTATGGATTTCTTTTTTTGTGTATTGCATTGCATAGGTATTTGTGCAAGCTGGTATTTCACCTTGACTCTGTTTATTCCTTTTTGAAAATCCCAGTCTACAGGTTCAGTAATGTTACAGTATAAGTGTTTCTATTTCTTGTCCTTCTCCTTAGGCACAGTGAAATGGAGGAAGCAGTAGGAACAATGAAAGAGAAATATGAGCGTGAAAGATCTATGCTCTTGGAAGATAACAAAAAGCTAACAACAGAAAATGAGAGGGTAATTATTTTAGGAAACATTTTAAAGCAAAATATAGCTCTTACTTCATTACTTTCTGATGTTGAAGTAGTCTTCTCATTGATCAGAACAGGATCTGTGAATGTTCGGGCAGTATCTGAATAAAATAAATGTCATTTTCGCCATATAAATGTCCCAGATCTGGCTAAATGATAACTTTAGCATCTCAGTACTGTGCTTTGTGGCATTGATTCTCACAACTCAGAAGACACCACCTTGTGATTGCTTCATGAAGGCTGCACAGAGAAGGAAGCTTTTCCAAAGAGTCCCTGCCTTCCTGAGAGCTTACAGTTAAACCTCATTCCTCTCGATGACCTCTACACTTACTTTTTCTTTTCCTTTGTTTTTGATTGTTTTGTGTGAACTGGCAATGTGTTCTTCTTTGCTCAGGAGCTGGTCCCCCGTTCCACAAAAAAAGAAACCTTTCCTGTTCTTTGGTCTGTGTTAGAACTTCCATATAATGCAGGGTGGTCTTGTTTGTTCAGATTCTGTAGGCGTGTGTAGACATAGGCATACCTAAAAAGTCTGAAACTGACGTAAATCACAAGTGGCATCAATTTTTTGTTTCAGCTCTGCTCCTTTGTGGACAAATTAACAGCACAGAACAGACAGCTAGAAGATGAGCTCCAAGACCTAGCAGCAAAGAAGGAGTCTGTTGCTCACTGGGAAGCTCAGATTGCAGAAATTATCCAATGGTATGTGCTATTTGGAGATCCAGATGGACACTTTCAACTTTTGAAATATTTATTGGCCTTTTTTTTTTTTAATGTATAGCTAGGCCCTTTCTCTATGTCTGGGACCAACAAAAGCATGGTGCTTCTGAATGTTGATTGACTGTTTCTCTTCTGCTTTCTAATATTGCTAAGTAGTAATGACAAGTGAAATTTTCAGATGCTGTTAAGTTTGAAGGAGAGGGTTTTGGTGTCAACTCAGTCTCTAAAGTGGTCAGTTAAGTTTGAAGGAGAGGGTTTTGGTGTCAGCTCGCTTCAGTCTCTAAAGTGGTCGTTAAATCACCCCATATGGAATATTTTGATAGATTTGTTCAGGAAGATGGTGCATGTTAACGTAGAGAACCTCACTAGCTGTACTAGGCAAGTGCTAGTACAGCTTCAGGTCAGTTTTTCCCTCTGTTATTTGCTGTTTTAGCAAGCTGCCTGCAGGTATTTTCAGCATGCAAACAAGGAGGACTTGAAGGTAGCCCTTACAAAAATTGAGCAAGCAATATGCAGATCATGTTCCAAACAATAGCAGTGAACCTCTGCAGAACTCTTGCTGATGGTGGAAGGGAAACTTCAGTTTCCCTAGCAACGGCCACAATCAAGAGAATCAGATAAAAGAAAAATCTAAGGCAGGCAATCCAAGATGTATTCAGTTTTCTGTTGCTGGGAGAGTTTTTCCTGCTCTGTCCATTACTGTATGTCCCTAAATCCAGTGCACTCTGGTTGTTTGGTGGTACAGTATTTGGTGCTATTAGCCGTAGAACTGTTAAGTAACAGTTTTTTGTAATTGCCCAACAGGGTAAGTGATGAGAAGGATGCTCGTGGCTATCTCCAAGCCTTAGCTTCCAAGATGACAGAAGAACTAGAATCATTGAGAAGTTCCAGTCTGGGGTCACGAACACTGGTAAGAAAAAAACAAGCATCCAGGCTCTCCTGGGGATGTCCAAGTAGCTACATTTTAGTTTTCAGCTATCTGTTCATAATCAGAATTCTTTTATCATAAATCCTCTGCTCTGCTTTCTAGTTTTTATCTATTGCTTGCGAAATGCATCTAGGTAATCTGATCAGAATTTGATAATTACAGGGGGCAGTTGTTTCACACTAGTATCTGCCATCACAAACTGCTTTAAACAGTACAGAGGAAAGAAGAAGCAATAACTTAAACCATTAAAGGGGAGTACAGAAATGTACCTCACCCTGTTAGATGCAAGTGAATAATTTTAACTGCTGTTACACTGAGATAACAAAGTAAGTTTTCTTTTGTGAACAAGTATTAGATGGTTGATATTGTTACAAACTAGTGACATGCTGAGAGCATGTAGCTTTATTTACATGCAGAACGATGAGACCTTGTGCCATAGTTTTCCCATACAGTAGTAACATGAATTAAAAGAAAAAAATCTGCAAAATAGAAGAGCCTCATGAAGGAATATGGTTTCAAAGACAAAAACAGTTTTTCCTTGGCAGGTACTAAATACCTGCATAAGGAAAGGGAGAGCTGTTTCCAGCTAGGCATGGAAGCCCTAACAATGCCAGTCAGTACAGTCTACCATGTAAATACCTGCATAAGGAAAGGGAGAGCTGTCTCCAGCTAGGCATGGAAGCCCACATCCCTACCAATGCCAGTCAGCACAGTCTGCCACAGAGAGTCCATCTGCTGCTGGTTTATACAGAAAAGAAGTTACTCATCCCTTCCAAACGGATGAATTAGGAGAGAATACAAGAAAGTTATGACTTCCTATGAGCTAATATTTGCCTACAATCATCAAGAGAGGGTTATAATATTGAGAGGCTTAATAGGAAGAAAAATCAGATCAAATGCAGTTGGTATTTTCGTTGTAGCTGCTGCCAAAGAATGCTCTCTGTTCTTTATATTACAGCTGGTTTTGTAACCTCAGCAGAACCTGATCTAAGGCAGTTATTTTTCAACATAAAAAAATGCCTCTCATTTTCATGACTGTTATTTGCAAGTTCATGTGTGACTAGAGAGATCTAAGGCAGTTATTTTTCAACATAAAAACTATTTGCAAGTTCATGTGTGACTAGAGGGATATCACAGAATCACAGAATCATCTATCAAGGAATACCAAAAATGTAGTCCACGCTGAAAAGTTCCTGGAAAAGCTTGGAATATTAGCTTTTGGGGGGCAGTAGGAAATTGCATGGTATAAGCAGAAGTATAGCTAAGTATGCTACTTAGCAAGCTTAAGAATTGTTTAGGCAAATGTTCTACTTATCTTAGGTATCTCAAGACCAGATTATTTCATTTTTTTATGGTTTTCCTACTCCTGGTATGTTTTAGATTAGTATGTTTTACATTAAATATTGATGCTTATCTCATGTTTGAAAGTCTAGTATGTCACTGGACACTGCAAGTTTTATACTCTTTTCTAGATTGGACAATGAAAACTAGCCATTTTCAACAGGTTTGCTCAGTTTGAGTTCCAAGCATCAGTGATCCAGCATTTTGGTTTCAAGCATATTGTGTTAGTGGTTTAACTAATGTAAAAGTTGCTTATTACTTCCATTTTTGTGTAACAAAGTCTGACTATCGAATGATTTCCATGCAGCAGGTATACTGTCCATAACTAATTAAAAAAGCATTCTCTGAACCAGTGTGAAAGCTAAATTATGTCTTCGAACAAGAACAGGAATATCTTTAGACAGTTGATATTAATATTCAGTAACTTCCTGCAACAGGATCCACTGTGGAAAGTGCGGCGCAGTCAGAAGTTGGACATGTCAGCTAGGCTGGAGTTACAGTCTGCCCTCGATGCAGAAATTCGTGCCAAACAACTAGTTCAAGAAGAGCTACGGAAAGTTAAAGATGCAAACATATCATTTGAAAGGTAACGAGGGCTTTGGTTCTGATTGGGTTTTAATGTACTGCTCTAAACTGCTGATTACAATAGTAACCACTTTCTTATAATGGCCCCTTGTGCCTGGGATATTGGGCTGCCAGAAAGATCCCATTCTCCAGTCCACACGTTTCTTACATAGTCAAATGAGAACTGTAAAAAATTCTTCTAGTAAATGTTTCACTGCTGTGAATAGCTTGGTAGTAAGATACAGATCTTGAGCACCTGAGGGGAAAAAAAAAAAAAAGCATAAGAGCAAATTCAAACCAAATTCAGTACTTTTTCTTAGACTAACTGGAAAGTAGACATTCGTGGGAATTAAAAGCCAAACTACTATTGGAGTAATTTTGTTTGGCAGGTGTCTGCAATGATAGTAGGAGTCTCAAGTAAAGTTTTCACTGTCTAGTCAAGTAGTGAGATGCCTGTTCAGGGGAAAAATAAAAATTAATCAGCCTTAAGAAAAAAAATAATCTTTAGAAACACACCACCACTCCTCAAAAAAACCCCAAACAAAATGACATTTTCCAGTACTCTGAGATGCAGGGCCAAAAATGAACAAGGCTATGCACTGGCATTCCTGCCTTTGAGGTATTTCAGACTGCATTTTGATTATATTGTATTGCTTTAGTAAATTGAAGGAATCGGAAGCAAAAAATAGGGAACTGCTGGAAGAGATGGAAGCTTTGAAGAAGAAACTGGAAGAAAAATACAGAACAGATTCAGGTAATTAAAGTTACTGTGTTTTAGCAGAGTTCTAACACCACCTGCCATGTTGCCTTTTAGCTAAACCTGTTCTGCTTTGGGTTTTAGGTCTCAAACTTCCAGATTTTCAAGATTCCATTTTTGAATATTTCAACACCTCTCCTCTTGCACGTGATCTGACCTTCAGAGTGAGTTATTATGTAAAATAACTGTGAAAATGTGATGAGTGAATCATAGTTTTGTTACGTATAAGTAACACTTGGGCGCTATATGGCACATTTGGATTTGGCACATCAGCCAAATTAGCGTGCCACAGAATTGGATGCCCAGTAGATGTCAGATTGCTTGGCATTTTGTAGAGAAGCTGGTGCCTTTGGGAAATATTCCCAGAAGCTCACATTTAATTATTTCCCATTCTAGCTTCTTTGTTTAGGTTAATCTCAAACGTTTGGCTAAATAATACATATGCAAGGATTTTTGGAAAGGCTGGCACGCCCTGTTACAAATAAGAGATTAAATGCTTTGCAGTTGGAAGATGCTGGTTAATACAAGGAAAAGGATTCACACAGTTCAAGGAGTGTTTAAACAGATATGTAAAATTGTTGGCTCCAGATCTTAATGGAGTGGTTAGAGCAGAAGGAACTGGGAAGAGAATCAGAGGGCCCACAGATGTTGGTATAATAAGTTTATCATGACACACCCTCTGATCCTTAGAAAACTAATCATACAAATCACAGCTCCAAGTGGGCGTTGCACTTTGAAAGGTTTGTGCACTCCCTGAGGAAGCAGCTGTTAAATGCAACATTGAATTTCATTTCCTTACTTCATGAACTCTTGATCCCTGAAGATTTTCTGGGATGTTTTTTTGCAAAACATGTAGACAGTTTAGGATTAAACCAAGAGTTTGAACTGGAAAGAATAATCTGTTACGTTTATGGAGCCAAGATAAAGGGGCTCAGGTTAAAACCTTGTAAATCTGGTTAGATTTTATATCTGAAATGTGTACTCCTTTTTTTTTTTTTTTCCTCCAAATTGTCACTGTTGCTAAAAAGAAAGCCAATGGAGAGGCTGTGGTATTTGCATACGCTTTGTGTATGTGCTGTTCCCAGTCACAAAATGTTCCCCCTGGCTTTCTTGCTGAAGCCACAGGATGTGCTATATGGATGCGGTGGAGGGAAGAGAGAGCAACTACTATCTGAATAATAATTTTTATCTACTGACCTTGGTATTTTAAAACATTGCTTTAAAAAGAACCAGGTACACTTAAAACAGTAACGTGTAGAATATCAAACCCATAACTAATGAAGATTCCATTCCGCAGATCCTGCAATAAATATATAGTTGCTATGGAAATGCAGGTGGCATTTTCTGATGAACTAGATTAAAATTGCTGATACTGTACTTAATGAGTTCCATTAACAATTTTTTTCACATGTACTTAAAGATAGTCCTTGTCATCTGCTGTGGGTTAATTTAGTTTGAATAAATATCATATGCCCATATAAAACATTTTATTTAGCTAGCCTACTAGTATTCTCTCTGAAGTTTTCCTGTGGGTGATAAGTGATCATTTTTATCCCTCATATTCGTTACAACAAAGGATTCTGTTTCTTCTTCGTCTACATCTTCTCTGCTAGCCTTTTGGGAAGAAGTAAGTTTTTGCTAGTAGTTTTGTGTCCTTATATGTTGTGACCTGTCATAGTAAAAATGGCCGCCTAAAAATAGATATTTTGCATCCTTAACTTCTTTATAACTTAATCCACTAAATAGAGTTAGTTTAGTTTTCTTTTAATACCTCTTTACAGGCTCACTGTTTTATATTTTGACTATCCGTATGGCTAAAGCTGAATCACACGTAGCATTTTTAAATAGTTCATATTGCATAATGATACAATTTGATCTTAAATGGCCCGGCCCTACCAATCAATTCATAACAAAAAAAATAACAAGTATGTGAACGTATTTAGTGAGCTAACTGAACTGAGCCATCTTCCTGTCTAAACTGGCTGGGAAGTGAGTGATTCATTACTTGTTGCCTTTAGTGCTAATTACATCATTGATGTGAAGTCTAATCTGATGTTTGTTAATCATGATTTTCATGATGTCCTCAGACTACAGTAATACAGTATCCTACTTCCACACCCAGCTTCTTTAGCTCTGGAATTGTAGCATACTTCCCCCTTGTGCTGGCAATTAGTAGTTGCTAATTTAAGTGTGGAGTTAATAGAAGGCTTGTAATGGAAGCTAGTCTTTTAGTGAAATATAAGACAATGTGACTAAGCAGACGTGATTCTTTTAATGGCAGGGGGCAACTGTTTTAAACAACTTTTTAGAGGGCTGTGTAGTACTACTTTAAGAATTTTTGTTGTGGCAGAATTGCTGTGTGCTAGAAAAATCCTAGTGTAGTAAGCTACCATGAGAAATAAGCTATTCTATGGACGATTGCCAGGCTTCTTAAACATCATTCCATACCTGCATGCAAGAGATTAGGCACAGCCTTGCTGGGAGGAGAAGGCTGTTACAGCATTTATGGTGCCTACTATGAGGTTCTGCATTTCAGTACTTCCAGCTTTACAGCTTTTCCATGAGCTGGCAGGGTTTGTTGTGAGGAAAGATTTATTATTTTTTTTTCAGAGTGAAAAGTTGTTAGGTGTGTGTGTACTGCATATAGAAATCAGCGTTGGGGTTTTTTTTTGTTTCCATTATGTTGATGTGAAAATGCTTTGTCAGATCTGTGGTATCTAATGTAACGTGTTTGCTGTCACTTTTGCAGACCAGTTCTATTAGTGAGCAGGAAACACAGGGTCCCAAGTCAGAAGTTTCACCGTCAACTTCAGTTGTAACTGCAGAGCAACAACAAGAAGTAAGAGAGCCATTATTTTCCCCTGAAGAGTGATTTTTCTAGAAAGTCTCTCTGTCTTGTTCATGATAAATATATATTGCAGCATTCGCTATGAAGAAGCAGGATTGAATGTTGCTTATTTGCAATGTGTCAGTGTTAATTGCACCTGCTCTGAGGACAGTTGCAAATGGAACCTTTTTGCTGGCTCTGTGTATGTTGATGTACCTCATTCTCATATGTTTTCTGTATTGCTGCTTGTTTGTTAGTGTGCAGGCTTTCCTGTGAGTGCTTTAAAACACAATCTGTTTCTGTTAAATCAGAATGGCGATGTTTATGATGATTAAATTTTTGATAACTTTCAAAAAAGAAAAAAAAATAAATCAGAAAACAATAAGCTTTACCACCCCGATCTTGAAACAAATTCTTGAAGCCTCATTTTGCTCAATTACAGTTTTTTGTGATTCAGGAACCAATTCGGCTTCAGAGGATGCCTGCTGTTCCTTCCCCCACCATTCAATCCATTTCTCTAGCTGTACCAAAGGTAGGGGGACTGTGCTAACCTTATTCTAAAGAACAAAGGAAAAAAAATATCATTTATAAATTAGCCCTCCATGTTTGTTCTTGTCCTGTTCGGGTTTGTCATGTGTTTCTTTGTTAGGTCTCTGTTTTTAATCAAATGTTTCCAAATGCGAGCTGATGGGTTTTGATTTGTCGGAAGGGATGACAAAAAGGAATTGGTTGTAGGTTTGGGTTTGAGTGTTTTATGCAGTTGGAAATAAAACTGTTACTGTTGTCTTGCAGCACCTTTTACAAGCTGCACTTACTTCAAAGAAGCCCAGGTTTCATAACATAACACTCTGACGTACTTGGAGGGTGGTAAAGGGAGATGCTTGCGTTACATAGACAGTGAAAATTTACTTTTTTTATCCTGAATGTATCTTTCAGCCTAAAGCTCACCAGCTCAACATCAAGTCGTTCACAAGCCCTACTCAGTGTAGCCATTGCACCTCTCTTATGGTGGGATTAGTTCGACAAGGTTATGCCTGTGACGGTGAGTCAGTTAAACTTTTTATATTTTCAGCAAGTCCCTGAAAAAAACATTCCAAAACACTAACGTACTTCAAGGCAACCATTCCTTTGGGGAGGGAATGAAAGAGAGAGGTGGCTGCCACTGAATGGTTTGTTCTTTTGCATCATCATTAGTCAATTAATATAAGCCCTCACGGTTGCCTTCCATATTACTAATTAATTCTGCTACCATTAGTGCTGTTATAGTGCGGGCTGGGAGGTGAGGAAGGCACAACTGTTTTCTGTTTCTGTAGGGGAGAAGACTATTCGAAGGCTCTGATAACATAAGTCTGACTCTGTTTATCCTGATCATAAACCCTGTATGTTGGGAGGACCATTTGCTAGGTTTTTTGGCCTGTTGCCTGTCTTACTGTCCATTAGATTTTATTTTAAATGCTTTCTCTGATTGAATTCCATGTTTGAGTATATTGGAGGTATTTTTATTTGAAAATACTTAGGTGTATCTTGATCAGACACACAAACTCAGTAAGTAGTCCACAAAGCTTTTGAAGACACTACTGTATAAATAACCTTACTGTATTTCTGTGCCTAGCTCAGTTCTTGCTAGCGACACCCCCTCCACTGACACCTTCAGTATCATATTCAGATTGCGTCGTCTGCCCTTCAGGGCTTTTTTTCCTGGCAGATCTTCTGGTGGCAGTTTTTCCCCAGGAGCACCTATTGCTCTGCCAGCGCTTGCCCTGGGGCTGCCTTTTGTCTCCAGTTGCTGACAGTTCTGAACTCCTGGTTTGCATCTCTTCCTGCAAGTTTGAAACGGGCTTTTTCCCTTAGTCTAGCTATCAATTTTGCTATTTTTTTTTCTCTCGTGTATTTTGATTAAGCTGTGCATCATTAGTTTTCCAGTTTGCCTCTTCTACTCCAGATCTTGATAGCTACAGACAAAACCAGAATCACATTGACGTAAGAATAGAGATGATTCCACTAGAGCAAGACTTTGCCATTTTCCACTCTCAGTCACTTGCTTTTCCCCGTTCCTCCCCTTTTTAATGCTGGAGATTATGGTAAAATACATCTGTGCTTCCAGAGGCCTGTGGAACTGGTTATGTCCTGTGGATTTTCCCTGTTCTGCAGCCGATGTACCTCCATATGCACAAATACCAAATAATTGATGATGAATTTATTATCTGGTCTCAGGGAGCACCTACGGTACTTTACATACATGACTTTTTGGTAACCCCCGTCCTCCTGGGAGCCTGATCTGGGCCGCCCTCTCTCCTGGCCGTTCCCTTGGGCATCATGAGGGGGAGGTTTGTAGCCCAGTCTGTGGCTCTAGCAGAAGCAGGTTGTTTCCAGGTCTTCCAGAATCCTCTGACCCTTCGTAATTTTGGGGCTAAATGTGCATAGGGTGTCTGCCAGGTGCCCACTGCTAAGAATATGGTTAGGAGGAAGCAGTGCTGTGCCAGTCTCCTGCTGCCTTCCCAAGCCTACTGGTAGAAACAGGGCAGTTGGGACAAACCAGACAAAACCTCTGTTGGAAGGATCTGGCCAAGAGACTGTGGGTTGGATGCCTCGATATAACATGTTAGTTCATTCTGGAGTTCTTGTAATTTCCCTCACGTAAACTAGCATATATTCTGAGTTTTTTTCTGTGTAGTGCTTCTGTATGAAGTGCTCTATAGACAAGAGACCTCTGTCCCTTGCTGGGGCAGCACAAAATGGTACAAAGTGGTGTAAATGGTAAGAAAGGATGCAACCATTAGTGTAGATGTTTGCTCCTTATTTGAACTCAGAGATATATATACGCTCCTTTCACCACACAGCGTTTCAGTCCTTATCTCCTCGTTTCTACTTTATTATGCTTTCAAATGTATTGCCTGTATTTAATAGTTAAACCCTTTCTATTTTATTGATCAAGTTACTTTTATTTTAACTTTGCAATATTCTTGCGTACTAGGATCAAATTAAACACCTACTATATTTATCTTGTCTCCTATCACTGCCCCATAATTTTTATTCCTCCTCTTTTAATACTTTTTTTCTTCTGTGACTGGGTTAGTTACTGCTTAACACCAGTGAGGCTGACCAACTCCTTTTCCTTCTGGAAAATGCTTTCATAAGCTGCCTTGAAATGTGGACTCAGTTCCTGCCCTTTCTGGAAGTAATAGGCTTAAAAGAGAAAACAAAAGCTTTTTGGAGAGTCTCATACAACATCTAGGTGTGTTCACTCCTTTAGCATAGTGGGCTGTTGCAATATTTGACTGCCAGTTTCAGTGTGGTTAATTAATTAGCTGAGCGTCAGGGTGGACTACGTTAATCTCCTGTTACGATTGACTCATACATGCATTTCACTGTGAATTTTCTCTTTTGTACTTAGTGTGTTCATTTGCATGCCATGTTTCCTGCAAGGATAGCGCGCCTCAGGTCTGCCCCATACCCCCTGAGCAAGCCAAAAGGCCTCTTGGAGTAGATGTGCAAAGAGGAATAGGAACCGCCTATAAAGGTTATGTCAAGGTAATAGTCTTTTGTTCTTGGACAAGAGAGGAATATTAAACTTCACTTAAGGCTGTGCAGCTTGGAACCTCTAAGTATGTTTAAACAGATCTCCTAAATTGTGCTAAAGCCTTAAGGCTTTGTGTGCCATCTATGTAACTTATTTAACCTTCATTGCTTTAGATGTGGGAGAAACGGTTGGTTTTACTACAAGAGCTAAAGGTTAGTAGATTAGAAGCTACAGTATTCATAAGCAGCAAGGGGGGGTGGAAAAAAGCATGCTTTAAGGAAGAATTTCTGTCCTTGGTGTAAGGGTAATATAAAAAGTAAACTGTCCTACCATTTTTGGCATTTGTGGAATATACAAGCCCCATGGTTTGTTCTAATACTGCCTAATATATTTATTAAACTGTAAGAGGGAATGGTTGAACTTAAGGGAGGAAAAATGACTGCTTGATTACTTGACATTTTTCACTCTCTTTTGAAGGGCAAGTAGGACGTGTTCTAATTTTGTTGATCTAAGTATAAGCTTTGCTAAATGTCCTTGCTTTCTATGCCTACTACATGTTCTTACATTTAATAAGCAATCAGTTATTTATACACAGGTCCCAAAGCCTACAGGAGTTAAGAAAGGGTGGCAGAGGGCTTATGCAGTTGTCTGTGACTGTAAACTCTTCTTATATGATGTGCCTGAAGGAAAATCCACCCAGCCTGGAGTTGTTGCAAGTCAAGTCTTGGATCTCAGGTTTGTATTATTATGACAGAGTAGAAATCCTTTTTTCCCTAATAGGAATATTTATAGTGCCCAAGAAACTTTTAAGATCATGAGAGCTCTGGTCTGAGAAGACCTGTGTGTTCTGTGCGTAGACTGGGGCTAAGTTTAGGCTAAATGAGTTGTCTCAACGAGTCACTTAAGTGACTTTATAGTCACTTACACTGCAGTCACTAATATTTACAGTACTAGCATGCCTCTTCCTAGAATTCCATAGGCACACATGCAAAACAAATAGAATTTGGTAAATTGTTTTTTCCCCTGCACTCTGACCTCACCATTGAGTCACAGTTCATCCCAGAGCCAGTAATTTCAGGGAACATCAGAAGAACTTAAGTAGTCTGCAGAAAAGCACCAGCTAATTTACAATTGCACGTAGCTCTGACCCTGCCTTCTCATAGGAGTCATTTTCTCATGGTGAGCCATTTGAACCACTGAACACTGTCTACAGGAGATCTGAGACTTACATTGATCAGAGTAACCGAGAAGGTTTTTTTTATTTCGATTTATGGAAATATCAAAAAAGTGTAATACCTTTTAATGTTACAGCACCTTCTATCTCTGTGGAATATAAAGTTTGCAGTCACAAACACCTTGATTTATATTTTTTCCAGACAGTAGCAGTACTGTGGGGTTGCACCCGTACTGCTGTTCTGTTCTCACATTTATTCCCTGAAAGCCTTCAGTGTCAGCTCTCTGACGCGCTGGCGGCGGGAGCAGAAGCCTGGAAGTATTGCAAATAACAGCGTTGACATCAGTAGATTGCTTGAAGCAACTCAGCCAGATATTATACCAACTGTCCCATGCTTTATCTGCTTATTGTATCTGCCTCTTTGAGTCTGTCTTCTGAGGATTCTTAGATGTTTTAATAGACGTTAACCACCACAGCTATGTATTCTAGCATGGGCAAGTTGCAGGCATTAGTGTCATCTTTACACTAAAATTGGCAATTATGGTGATGAACGTGGTCAAATTCAGTTTAAAAAGGCTTGTGTAGACAAGCCCTCTGGGGTGGAGCACTCTAAAATGCAAAAGTTGTTCTGATGTCTGTTTATTTTACTGTAATAGAGAATAAAATCTAGCTGTTTTGAAAACCCTTATTTGAATCCCACAAACTATAATTATGTTGCCAAGAGCTTTTTATGTGATTTTTCTTTTTTTCCAAAGGCCCCTCTCTTGCTACACATTGAGGTATGAATTATTCATTTCTAATGTGTCTGCTGGGCTGGAAGAGCAATCTTCTTGCTGCTAATTGTAGAATAGGTGTGGTTGGTAAACCAAAACTACCCAAAGCCACCCCACTTAACTTCAGGTGGACTGAGTTACACGTACTTGAGTGCTGTAGAAACATAACTAAAGCTTGTGAGTTGTTTGGGTCAAGGATGGTTAGAGCCTCTATCGAAGCAGTGATGGCAGTTGTGACCTCTGTGCGGTATTAGGAGATTACAGCCTGTTGAAACAGTTGTGATATCGATTAGATTTTGCTGAATGATGTTAGCCTGGGCATGTACGTGATTCTCTTGCTCTCTTTCTTACCAGAGATGAAGATTTTTGTGTGAGCTCTGTCCTAGCATCGGATGTGATACACGCAACTCGTAAAGACATCCCTTGCATATTCAGGGTATGGCTTCCAATTTACTCTTAAAGAAAATACAAGTTAAATATCAATGTTCTGTTTTGATAGCACAGTACTTTAGCCATATTTAATGTTTATTAAGTTATGCAGAAGTATAAGAATTTACAAGGGGTGCTGAAATGTGTAGAAGAACAATATGATATTCCTCCTAATTGAATTGTAATGAACAAAGTCTTCCTTCATTTGCTGCTTCCTTCTATACCAATTTTGACTTTTTTATTTTCTTGATCATCAATTCAGTATATTTTTGTCTCCTCTTCCATTGGTATTACCAGATCCTGGCTTTTCTTTCTTAGCTTTGGAGGACTGTTGCTTTAGGAACAGATGCTGTGACAATGTAGGGTGAAGCTGGGTTGTGCTCACTGATTCTAGTTCGCCATATATTGTCTTGTATTAAAAAATGCATTTGAAATTTTAGTTTGCTTAATTTCATATTTAAGTATAGTAGGGAAAAATTTAAGAGAAAATGATTAGCTGACATTATATCCTCTTTGATGTATGTTCTATCTGAATGCTGTATTTAGTTTGTAACAACAGGAACTTCTTTTCTAGGTTGTATGTGAATTATATTTAATCTGAAAATTTAAAATACAGAGTACGTTAGTAACAAATATCTATAATTCCTTGCATTTGAATACAGAAACTTACTGTTTTCAGCATCTTCAGTCATTTAGAATCAAATCAGTGGAACATAGAGCTGACAGTCACATGCAGCTCCTTCAGTTTACTACTACTTTTACCTTCATTTTTCCTCTTACTTGTTTCTAAATGGTTTGGGGTTTGGCCTGCTCTCTTCTCAAATTAGCAAATATGGAATACTATGGGAGAGGACTTCTGAGGAGAGAAAACCAGCTTTGCAGAATGGTCGTTGATTCATTTAAGAGCAAGGTATCAATATGGTTTAGCCTGCCTGACTTGCAGCTCTAATTTCTGCTTGCAGCTTTTAACTGAAAGGGTATCTAAGGGAAAAAAATACTTTGTCAGATATCCCCATATGAAAATACTTGTGTGAATAGACATGACAAAATATCTCCACGGCTTGATCAGATTATCCCCTACTAAAGAGATCTGATGAACTAACTGGAAGCCTGGTGTGTGAGTATATCCATTTAGATACCCTGCTGACAGAGACCAGAGAAGATGCTGCCAAAGTCCACCTCTTTTCTCAGTTTTGTATCCTCCTTCAAAAGAAGGAATTTTAAAAACTGGAAGGCAATATTATCTGATGCAGGAGAGTCTATTTTCTCAATTTCATTTAATTCTAGATTTACATCTTGCTGACACAGTGACACAGAGTGGCTTCCACACAACAGTTAAAACTGTTACTTTACATCATCTGTATTAAAATATGGTCCTTTTTTCATGTGTTAATTCACATAATGATACTGGTGGCCCACAGAAGACGGGTTCTCATTTCTTTTGGATATTCCACCAGCAGAAAGCAATAACAGAATGCTGCCAAACACTAAAATATTGTCACCTCTGTCCCCCCATGAAATCAAGAAAAGGAAGAACTTGTCTCAGACTCCAACATCTCTCCCTGGTAACCAGTTTTTATTAATAGGGTAAGAGTGTTTGTAGCGGAGTCCTTCCACAGCGTAGCAGTTTGAGTTAAGAAGCTTGAGTTTCATAGCAAATACTGGATTTTTGTATGATGTTTATGACCAACTTCTCCCATTTTTTCTGCATTTGACTGCACGTCAGATGCCATCTTCAAAAGACTGATGAGTGGTGGCACTTCAAATGGAAAACAATAGCTGAAGCCTCGTTTTGTTTCGGTTTTCAAATATAGAAATATTATCCAATGTGCCACCATCCATCTTAAAAATATTAATGCTTAGTTACAGTTTAGACACGAACAAAGCTTGATGCGAGGTACTAAGAGCTATGAGGAATTGCAAACTACTCAGTTCTTTTCCGACTGCTCTTCACTTTCATCTCATTTCTGGAGTTCTGTCTTTGACATCCTATTGTCCCAAGCTTACTTTCAGATGTATTCTATCTGTAAGATGAATGTTATTGCTTAATTCACTCTTTCAGGAGGTGTACATTGCATAACCACATCATCCGTCTTTATAGTGATTTTCTTATCAAAGCATATAGGCTGTAGGTGTGTTATTCAAGTATGAATAGTTACAGCCTTCAGTTTTGCACTTTTGCACCTTTTGCTGCCTTTTTCCTCTTTAACTATTGTTATTCTAAAAGTCAGTTGTGAGGGCTGGTACTGCCTGATGGCCTGTTTGTCTGAAAGCATAGTTCCCATAATCTCACAAACTCTTCACTCTCTTCGTACAGGACACAAAAGTAACATTAAGAACTATTAAATGCATACTTTGGGCAACAGAAAGTTCCTGGATGCATTCTGCTTTGAGCTCTATAGGATGATTGACCTGAAAATTAAGTGAAGCCATAGTGATTTTCTTTTAACACGAGATCATTTAACATTTTTCTTTTAACAGAGATGTGATGTGCCATAGTGATTTTCTTTTAACACGAGATCATTTAACATTTTCCTTTTAATGGAGATGTTTCCCCTGAACAAATATTTTGAAAATTCAGTTGCAAAATCAAAAGCTAGAGCTGATCATAGCAATGCCATTGGGTTTAAAAGCATCTAATTCAGAAAGCATGTATGTAATTTTCAGTAAGTTATTAAAAGATCGGGGTGGAGGGAAGAATCAGGACAAATTATGGCATGCTGCTCAAATTCCAGTGCAGAGCAGGAAGGAGCCTTTTACTGCCTTGTAGGAAAGGAATGTAGCGTTTCTTGCCCATATTTTAGGATTCGGGACGATTAAGCAAGATTGAGTGTTTTTAAACAAAACTGCTGAGGCTTGTGCATTTTTTCAAAGGCTGTGTTAGCTGTCTGCGGTGTCGCATACCCCTCAGGTACATCATCGCATTGTTACGAAATAGCGCATTTTGCTTTTGCAGTTCTGTGAAGTATATCACACTGACAAAAAGGGCTTTTATTACTCTTATTAATTTCTCTTTCTCTGTCTGTTAAAAGGTGACAGCTTCTCTCTTAGGTTTGCCTTCAAAGTCTTGTTCTCTCCTGATCCTGACGGAAAATGAGAATGAGAAGAGAAAGTGGGTTGGAATCCTAGAAGGGCTGCAGTCTATCTTGCACAAAAACAGACTGAAAAACCAGGTTGTGCATATTCCACAAGAAGCCTATGACAGTACACTGCCTCTTATTAAAGCAAGTTTAGCTGCTGCTATTGTAGGTATGTTTGTTTTAATTTTTATAAGTGTCTAAGAGTTGTTGGAGCTTTTAGATGGGCTTCTGTAATGAGAGCACTGACACCTTGAAATGAATTCCTCAGCTGAATTCCTTCATAGGAATTTAATAATGGGAGGGGGAAATGCTAATCTTGCATTGATATTCAGATTTCTTCAGAATAAGTAATACATTTAGTTCTTTAACAGGTTGTTTCAGCTATATGCTGTATATCTTGTGTAGCATTCTTTTGACAGACTGCACGAACTTAAGCAAAATTGATTTGCTGTCGAAAATCTGTTTGTCTAGAAATTTTTCCAGCTGTTCAAAGCAAACAATCTGTCTTAAAGATAAGGGTAAGTACGGCTGAATTAATAGCCTTTTTTTTTTTTTTATCCTCCCTGGTTTAGATCGAGATAGAATAGCGATTGGTTCAGAAGAAGGACTGTATGTGATAGAAGTGACCCGTGACGGTAAGTTGGGCCATAATGAATGCAGTAATTTCATACAGAATATGAGCTCCCTAATTTCCAGTGCTGTTAGAATATAGGTTACACAACAGCCCTTCATGTAAAGTAAGCATTAAGCACTCAGTTAATTGATGAGAAGGAAAAGTGAGTGTGAGATATAAAAACTAATTTGGTCATTATCATTACGTTCAGTTGACTGACTAAAATTAAAGGGATGGGTTGCGGGGCATATTCTTACACATTCTCACCTTAGCTGTGTTCCCACAGCAGGTAGCAAAATGTTTCAGCACACCGAGCACGCACAGCACACACAGCAGCAGTTGGTGCACAGTGAATTATCAGGCACTTACTAAATAGAACTTGAATGGAATGAGAAAAACTTGACACGGGGACAGGCTTGCACCAAAGCTGCACCATCAGAGGACTTAAACTGCCGTGAATTAGTAGACAGCCAGTGCAAGCAACACAAGAGTTTGAAGACTTTGCATTAAAGCTACCGTGTATCATTGTCTGTTTCTTCCAGAAATTTGACAACCACTGACATTCTCTTTCAGACCCATGATGACCAGAGCAAATGTCTTTTTTGCCCTTTTCCATTATCTCTTTATTTCCCCGACCCCACGCTTCCTCCTGAACCTGCTTTTTTCCTGTCTGTTCTCAATACACCCTGCCCTCTGCTTTGGGAAAAGTGGGATCAGGTTTGCCTGTTCTTTCTGAAGAGTTACTGTGTCCATCCAGACATTCACAGGGCTGCAGTTATCTCAGCAAAGTGTGTGCAGCATCATCACTGGGCAGCACAGGCACATCCCTCTGTCACTGAATTATTAGGCATCACAGCTAGGGCCTGAGGGAAGTGTTTTTCACTTTGACCTGATCTACTGGGCACAAATACAAATAACAGCAGGAGACGTGCCTTGGTATGGTGGGGAAAGCGTGGAGGCCAAAAGGATTACGAGCACATGAGCACTGGGATTGTCTGGGGTCAATCTGTACAAAATGCAATTTTAAACATGGAGAAGCAAAGAACAAGTCTGGTTAATTCTGCCATCTGCTTCAGGAATAAGATACTCTTATTTTGAGCAAACAAATAAACAAAAAACTGAAACAACTAGTTGAGTTAAACTGAATATATAGAGCTTAAGTAATATATTTCCAAGAAGCAGTGCAGATTTAAAATACAATAATCTACTACTATCCTCTTCCAAGTTGCTGTAGGAAATATTAGTTATTTCTTTCTCTTTGACTTCAAAAGTGCCAAACTTACCTTGTGAAATCCATGCTTTCTGTAACACTTGAAACTGAGACAGCACTCTAAATCCATGCTTTTTTGGTGATATAAGAGCTAACAGGCTATCTGATAGGATTGTTTCTAACAAAATGCCTTCTCATGTCTCTAACTATCTGGGAGTTGAGGTCAGTGACACAGATTTGTAAAATTAAAAGGTGCCCGTGTCCCTTTTCCCATTTTGAAAAAATTACTGGGACACTCCTGAGATATCCATTTTGACTTTTTTTAGTAATTTTCATTCAAACTTCAAAAAAGAAATGTCTTTAAATTTAGACTTGATGGAAGAATTTGAATTTCCTTTTTCAATGCAATTTAGTTTGTGGCTACCTGAAATTTGGATTGCAGTTATGCTAGAACTTTCATTTCACTGAATACAGTTTTTTAAAGACATACTTGACTTTCAAAATCAAATGAAGTCAGGGATGTGGTTTTGGGGCAAAAAGCAAAATGTTATTGCTTCCTCTTACTTAGAACAAGCCGTTGCCCAATTCCAGGAGAAAGTGCTTTATACGTGGAGACAGCAGATATTTGAAATTCTTTTTAGCAGTAATAAATGCCATTCCTTTGAGTAAACTTCCAGTGGTCACCATTCTGTAAGTACTTAGATATAAACATAACTTTAAACACAACTAATTCCAGAGATTCCAGTACAGCTTCTTGCACAAATGCAAATTTTACATTTAATTTGAAAAGTAATTTCATAAAGGAGCTATTTTCTCCATCACCGTTGCCATATGTAAATATGGAAATGAATTATCAATTTCGGTTTTAAGTTGAAAGATGTTTTGCAGGAGTTTTCTATGGCCAGTGTGTTAATAGCATTTTTATAAATCGTAATCTTCTTTCTATTCTATGGCAGTTGTAATTTTCAGTGTTAATTAACTGCCAGCTGCTTATATCAAAGGTCTTTGGTCAGATTATCGCTTAGTTCTTGACAAATAAGCTAAACCATAAGCTAGAGTTGGAGCTAGGGGGAAAAAAAATATCTTTTCTCTGTGGCAAGGTTTCAACAGCTGGTTGTTTCACAGAATATTTCTTCAGACGTATCATCTATTTGTGCAATTGGGGGGCACCCCGAAACCACTTGGGTTTGTGATCTAAACAGCCAAAGTCTTGTTAAAAGTTTACAGACTTTGGTAACTTGGCTGGGGTACTCAACTATTACTGAAAAATGCATATAATTTCCAGTTAATATTTCTTTTTTATTATCATGCACAAATATTTTGAATGCATTCAGCTAACGGAAAAATGAAAGTGATATTTTAATAGAATTGGCTTTTGCATATTATGTATTATGTTTCCTGGTTTGGAATTGCTTAGTCTCTTCTGTTTGTACCCCATCACTGCCTTCTTGAAAGTGCCGATATACCCACCATCCTAAAAGCAGAACCTGTTGTACTTAACCCTATTAACTGCCTCCATCTAACCCAGTCTCTAAAAAAATCCTTGAAATAGCAGAGACTCCCCAGCTTCCACAGTAACCTAACTTGTCCTTACTGTAAGAAGGCTTTTCCTGGTGCTTGTCCTAAACTTTTCTTTCTACAGCTTGAGCCTGTTCCTAATTACCCCAGCACACACAGCATTTTTTGCCTTTCTCTGTAGGGGTTTAACATCCACTTACTGTAGGGCTTTTGTATTTGGCTAAGACATTTTCCAAGAGTACAGCATTTTGTATCCTCAGTTATCAGCATTAAATACTTAATTAATACTTAATTAAATATATTCTTCTCTTTGTGTTCTCGGTCTTCCTCCATAATTTGTTGGAGATGCTGATGTTTTTCCTGAAGGTGGGACCACTTTCAGAAGATAGACCATCTTGGGTGTATGGATAGTACAGATATGATGATATAAAAAAATTTCTCCATTTATCCCAGATGTTAGGCAGCCTTTCCCTACAAAGTGTCACTGAAGTGGGGCTTTACACCGATAGAGAGAGTCACAGGAATGTTGTGTTTCACTGTTTGTTCTGAGAATTAGTAACAGAGCATTGAACACGTGTAATAAGTGCTCTTTCTTATCTGGGATGTGTTTAGATTTATTTTCAGACATCAGTATGTAACACTGCAGCGTTTCCACGGTTCCCGACGGTTTTCCTCTTTCCTTTGCAGTGATAGTCCGAGCTGCTGACTGCAAGAAGGTGTACCAGATAGAGCTTGCTCCCAAAGAGAAAATTATCATCCTCATCTGCGGTCGGAATCATCACGTTCACCTTTACCCCTGGGCCTCTCTGGATGGGTCGGAAGGAAACTTTGACATTAAGCTTGCAGAAACTAAAGGCTGCCAGTTGATTACAACTGGAACACTAAAGAAGAGTTCTTCGACTTGTTTGTTTGTGGCTGTCAAGCGGCAGGTTTTTTGCTATGAAATTCACAGAACTAAACCTTTCCACAAAAAATTCAGTGAAATTCAGGCTCCGGGAACTGTACAGTGGATGGCAGTGTTCAAGGACAAGCTCTGTGTTGGCTACCAGTCTGGGTTCTCTCTGTTGACCATCCAGGGAGATGGACAATCTATAAACCTGGTAAATCCTAATGACCCCTCGCTTATCTTCCTCTCACAGCAGTCTTTTGATGCCCTTTGTGCTGTGGAGCTCAGTAATGAGGAATACCTGCTTTGCTTCAGCCATATGGGAGTATACGTCGATTCGCAAGGTCGAAGGTCACGCATGCAGGAACTAATGTGGCCTGCAACTCCTGTTGCCTGTAGTATGTATATGTTTTTCTGTTGCCATATCCCTGTTGCTGCTTTACTTGTCTAAAAATAATCAGCATTGTATATTCTATTTTGCTTCGGTTTGTCTACAGTTTTAAGTTTTGATGAGTTAACAGGATGCATAGTCCTTCCTGGTGGTAGTTTTGGAACTTGGCAATTTCCTGGATGGTGCAAGAAAAGAAGCTCTGTCTTGTTACAGGACACAGAAGAATGAGTAATGGAATGGAAAATAATTTTTACAGAGAGTGGTCCTGGATTGCAGGACGCTGTAAGACTACTGGTCTGTGAAATTCTGTAAAGGTTTCTGCTCCCCGAGAGAGTGTAAATGTCTGGTTGTCTGTAGGATGTCTTCTGTGTCCTGTACTCAAAGTACAATAGAAAGTTGAAATGTAACTGTGACTCTAGGGGTTCGTAAAGATAACAAAACAAGAGGTAAAAATATTGCTTTTGGCAGAAGTGGTTACAATTTTGCTCCTATTGATTTTATTTTTAGGGGGAGAGTTTCCAAAAATAATATAGGCAGGTGGAGGGTAATTTTTTTCAACCACTCTTCTCTCTTCAGGCCCGTTGGTTTATCAGCTGGTTAGGATAGAAGCACGTGTGGAGCATTTTTCAGTATTCAGTAGCCAAAGGCAGTTCATGATAAAACCAGGATTTCTATTTGGAGCTCAAATAGCAATCAAACTGTTTTGAATGATTGAAAGCAAGAAATAGCTTTTTGTTTAAATAGTACACCAAGCAGTTAGGTGCTCGTTGGTTTGATCAGGCCAGGCCCTAACAGCACTTTGTTTAATTTTAATTGTCTTGAACTGAAATTGTTTGCTTGCTTTTCTCTGACCTACTTCTGTACAGAAGTCTGAAGCAAAGGCCCAAGGAAACAACGGGGTTGCAAATTTACTTTAAAATGCCATTAGCCAAAGCAAATGTTTCCTTTTCCTTTATCAGCTTTACATTTTTTTGCACTTCAGCAAACTGGACATGCTAGTTAATTGTTTTGCCTGTTATTATTAGAAGCTGTTCTTACTGTAAACTATTTTATAGCATTCCTGTATGTGCAATCCTTTGGCCTAGGGCTTTGTCCACTGCCACAGGAAACTGGATTACTTTCCTTTTCATTAGGCTTGTCCTCCCTCCTCAGTCCACATCTGGTGATGGTGGCTTTTTTCAACTATGTCCCATCAGGAGATCATCAAAGTGGAAATAGTTCTCCCCCTGTTGCAGTTTCTGCTGTGGTAAAGGACCATGTTGTAGAGAGGTTTGAGGATACGATGGAGAATTTGTCTCTAGGGTGTTCAGTCCCCTTGTTCTAGGAGAGGCCGAGGTCTGGGCTGACACAGCCAGCTCTGTTATCTCAGGTGGCCTGTCTGGGCTGCAGTTAAACCAGCTTCATGTGCTGGTTGTGTCCTGAGTCAGCGTAGTCATTGTGGGGCTGCTTAGCTTGGGCACGGCACAGTGCAAAGCCTTGGAGCCAGCAGGTCCCAAAGCTGTAGTGTGGGCAAACCCAGTGCAGACACTGGCATGTCTCTCAGGGAACCAGTTGAGATCTGCTCAAGCTCATCAACTCTGAGTGGTAAGTGCCAGCCTTGGCTACCAGCTGGCCAGGCAGAAGCAGTTGGTATTTCTGTCTGATGCTCACTGGTCTCCCTTGATGTGGACATCCAAGTCAACCATGACCCCATACAATAAACACTTGACCATAAATCCCTTCTGGGATATGTATTTATGAAAGCTGTCCAAGGCTTTCTGTGAACAAGTTCAAAAAATAGCACCACAACCATTACTTCAGTTCTTCTAAGAAGATTCTGTGATGTGTTTGGTGTCCCGCTGGGTTATTTCCCTTTGTTTATTGAAGCAGCTCTTTTCTCTATTAAATCCCATAAATTTATAGTAACTGCTCTTCACATCAGAGCACAGTCTTTACATGAACAGAACTCTAGGGATCTCTGCTTTTTGTTTGACCTAAAATAAACTTTGCAGATACCTTTTATGGTTTTTTATTTATTTAAAAAAAAAAGGTTGAAGAGAGAAAATGGGATGTAGGCTTTAAGTGTTGTGACATTTTTCTGTTAACCTGATGAAAGCAACCCATACATGAATATCTAAAGCTAGATAATTGTTAGCAAAAGAGGAAGGAAATGGAGAACAGATCCGCATCGTGACTTCATGACCCACCTCACAGATGGTGGCCCTCTCTTTTCCCCTGCACACAGCAGATGTAGAGTTAGTTTGCTGCTTCCGAAATGAAGTCATCTGCATCTGTAGAAAAGCCTAGCTGCTCGGTTCCTACCAAGTAGCAAATTTGTATGCATCCGAAAACTTCAGATGCCATTTTGCCATTTCATGGAATCGTAATTTGAAGTTTAAAAATACTGAAAGGGTCAAATTTCTGTCTTTCCATGACGCTGACAGTTGTCGTTAGCAAATCTGTTATCACAAAAATATCTGCTTGAAATCTGGGGCTGGGAAAAAGCGTTTTAAAATATATTGTGCACGTAGTGGAAAACTTGTAACTGTTGAAATTTGCTCAAATATATGTCAGTTCTGGACTACTGAAACCACATCAGGGTTTTCTGTTTTTAATTTATGCAGGTTGCAATTCTTCATACGTAACAGTGTATAGCGAGTACGGTGTCGATGTATTTGATGTTAACACTATGGAATGGGTCCAGACTATTGGCCTGCGAAGGGTAAGTCATTTTCTTTGAGTTTAGAACTTCATCCCAAATGAGAAGTTTCTTCGCAGTGGATGCTAGGCTTGAGTTAATTCTCTGCCTCCTTCCTCAAAACAGATCAGACCATTAAACATGGACGGCACGCTGAATCTCCTGAACTGCGAGCCCCCGAGACTAATATATTTCAAGAACAAGTTTGCAGGTGAGTACTGAGCAAGGGGAGAAGGGGGAAAATGACACGAAGCTAACTGGGTAATTTTAAGCAATGTTACCTTTGAGTGAGATGGCTTGTATTGGATGCATCTGGGTCAACGTGTCCCCGTGTATGTAAAATTGTATTGTGATCTTACAGCAGGAGCTGCCCTCAGCGTACCAGAAACCTCTGACAACAGCAAGAAGCAGATGCTTCGAACGAGGAGCAAAAGAAGATTTGTGTTTAAGGTTCCTGAGGAAGAGCGACTGCAGCAAAGGCGGTAAGGATTGAATCGTGGTGTGTGACTTAATGTACGTGATGACATGCAGAGACTGGGAATGCTAATAGTAAAAATGACTCTGTTCTTCTAGGGAAATGCTTAGAGACCCCGAGCTAAGGTCAAAGATGATTTCTAACCCAACGAATTTCAACCACGTGGCTCATATGGGACCAGGAGATGGAATGCAGGTTCTCATGGACCTCCCACTGGTAAAATACATTTAAAAGAGAGGGGGATATATGTGCATTTGTTCTTGCTCAGAAAAACGGTGAAGATGAGCTGTATGGGGTTCAACCTTTCTGATGTGCAACGCTTCTAAATCCTGTCCAAGTAAATACTGTTAGCTGACTTCTGAATGAGACACTGAAAGAAGTAGATATCCCTGCCAGGAGCTTGTTAGTAGTTTTGTAAATAATCAATCTCTCCTCCTTCCTCTTTCTTGTTTGTCACCTTAAAATAACAGAACGAATTTCCTTCCCCCTCATCCTCTTGACGTTCTGCTCTGATATCACTCCCACAGGCTTTGAGCACGGCTATCGCATGAGCCCTATCTCTGCTGAGATCTCTCTCCAGAGTGACCATTCCTCACTGCAAGGCTCCCCTCTGCTTTCCTCCTCTTCCTGTCCCTCCTCTGCTTCCCTAGCAAGGGTAGGAGTAGCTACAAACCATTAGCAACTGGAACTGGTGTGCTTGTGGCACTTTGCCAATTCTAGAGCGAAAAAAACAAGGGGGGAAAAAAACTAATGCTGTGGAGGTAACTAAAATGCATGTAAGTTGCAGTGCTTTGTAGCGTTATTTTTATCTTGTAATTAACAAATACAGTGTGTGTTCTTTACCCTCCATCTTATAGCTGCTAGTCAGGCTTTCTCTTGTCCTTCTCTGCTAGCCCAGGGGAGGGTGATGCCTTTGTCCTTTCAGCAGGAGGAGGAAGGAAAGCAGAGCTGTCGGTGCAGTCCCTGCCCCTTGGTAGAGGGTTTGCTGGCTGACAGGTTCTGGTGGCTGCTATGGGGCTTAGTTCTCTCTCTGTCTTTCTCAGGGTTTGTGTCTGTTACTGAAAATTTGTGGATGTGGTCAAGTAAGTTCAGAGTTTTTCTAACAACACGGGGTTCTAATAGCTTCAAAAGCGCAGTAAAGTTTTCATGAGTGACAACTCCTGGTTGGATAGCTCTTGTTCCTGGCTAACGAGGTGTTTCATTTCAACTGTAGAGTGTCCTGCCTGCTGCACAGGATGAGAAACCGTGTCCGTCTACCGCCAACCTCTCACGGCAGCAGCAGCAGCAGAGAAACAAGACCTATATCTCATGGCCCTCGTCAAGTAAGGCTGGAAGGAAGCTTGTCAGTTCTGAGCTGTCATTTATGGCTTCTACAAGAGGCGTAAAACTGCCTTTTTTCCTTCTCTCTCTCCAGGTGGCAGTGATGTGGGAGGAGCCATGCCTTCCCGAAGCATGTCTGATCCTGACCAGGAGTTTGACAAAGAGGTATAGTAGCTTTTATTACATGGAGACTAACGATACCTTGTTGCCATCCATTGTTTTCTTTTTCCAATAAATTTCTGAGGAAATACTTCGTAAAGACTGTGTTCTTTATGGAGGTGTTTTCCTTCCACAAATGTTTTTTCCAGCTTGTAACATATGATGGCAAGTTAGATGTGCCAGCACAAAAGCAAAACTGTGAAAAGATCCTTTTATGGTGGTATTTTAAGAAGTATTATGTCTTGGATTAAGTTTTTTAGACAAGGAAATTTGACTAATTGATGAAATGTCCTCAAAGCTCCTAAAAATGTTCACTGGGCTATTAGCATAGAATAGCTAAGTAATACAACTAGTTAAGTAATTTTCTGTGCTGCCTTAAGGAAGACTTTTTGTCACGTAACTTCAGAAGGAATCCTATTTTAAAATATGCACAACTGCTTTTAACAAGAGTAAAAGTACGTCAGCAAACTGAAAGTGCCCTCGCTACACAAAACTGGTGTCCCTGAATCCAAGGAGAGAAGATGTATGATTTTTGTTTCCTTGATTTATCATGGGTGTAGCTTCTTCCAGGCTTTGCTCAAGCACTGCCTGTGCAAGGAAGATGTCAGGAATTATGCCTGGTAGGCAAACTCCCAGATCAAGATCGTTGCATCTTCTTAGCGCTTTTTGGGACCCATCTACAGGTCCGTGTAATGTTCTGGATCTTGAAGGGTGTTTTCCTGAAGCCAGATGCCTTTGTACACCCCAGATCAAAGCACTTGTCCAGTTCTCATCACCACCACGCTCTGACTTCCTTTGTCACCTTGAGTAAGCCATTAAAAGTGTGTGAAAATAGGGGTCTGTAAACACAGGTATTTTTGAAACTGCCTTGATTTTCAAAGGTGCTGATGATGGACTACGTCAGTCGACTTAGTTATCCTGAAGCATCCTTCCCAAATTCCATTAAATTCCATGCTCTAATGTTACTTGCTGTTTGTAGGCACAAGTAGTGATGGATTCTAAGGTCTTTACGACATTTTCAGTAGATCTTAGAATTTCTTATTGTTTCTTAAATTAAAAAAGTAGTAGTTTGAAACTTGAAAAGGGAGTCTCTAATAAACAGCTTTTGATTTTATGCTGTTTTCCCCATGGCTTTTGGATTTATCGCAGCACGCACCGGATCATGTCAGAATAATCTTGTTAGAGACCATCTTATTTGCTGTTTTCCCCATGGCTTTTGGATTTATCACGGCACGCACCGGATCATGTCAGGATAATCTTGTTAGAGACGATCTTCTTATCGTTTGAGCCACGCAAAACCTTGTGAACAGCCCCCTTGAAGGATGTCACCTTTCAATTGGTTTGCTAAATATATATTCCCTTGCTGGAAAACCAACTTGCTGTGGTGGTACCAGTTTCTCCTGTGCAGTATTTCATTAGCTGTGAGTGTGTGCAGGGCTCAGAGCTGTAACTCACCAACGCGGTGGGACACGTCCCAGCCATCCTGTTGAAGCCAGACCCGTCTGTGAAGGCAAATACCCAACAGCTAATCTAAGGCTGGGGAAGTAGCTGTGGATAGACTTGTCTTTATTAGAGGTATTGACGTAGGGTGTCTCCAGTAAGTATATTCTGTTTCCCCATCTCCAGCCTGGTCCCTGGCAGCCTTCAGGCACTTCACACGCTTCTCACTGTGGCTGGTTTGTAAACAAAGTTCAGACGCTTGTTTCCTTTCTTCTCACCAAACTGAAGATGATTTGACCCTAATTGTTTATACGGGCACATAAATCTACTCCTGGGTGATAAAAATTGCTTAAAAAAAGCAGGCTGGTAAGTCCAGAACGACAATGGGCAGATTGATGCATTCCAACAGGAAAGCTCTGCAGTGGCTAAAGGAGAAGAGCCTGAGATGGAGCAATTTCCATGTACTTTGCCATAATTCCTGTTATGTCAAAACATCACCTTCAGGACTGCACTACGGCAGTCCTTGACAATATTTGCATGAAAGTTTAGCCATGAAATGAATCTCATACACGCTGCCTCGTAGGTGTTGCTCACCCTAATGTTTGAGTGCTTTTGAAAGCTTTTGAGCGCAAAGAACTGATTTTAAGTAAGCGTAATTTTTTTGTTTGTTTCATGTTTCTCGTTAACAGCCCGATTCAGACTCCACCAAACACTCTACTCCATCCAACAGCTCAAATCCAAGTGGTCCCCCGAGCCCCAACTCTCCTCATAGGAACCAGCTAACGCTGGATGGACTAGACCAGTCAACCTGCGACGCGTAACACTGCCACCCTCACCGTGCCGGCTTCCATCATCCACTGCTCCCTGGAGTCTTCAAGAGCAGGGCAAAGCTGTCTCAGATGCTAGTGCCAAGACTGACACTGAATCTCTAGTGTTGTACAAGAATAATTATATATCCAGATTGTAGATACAAACTATTGAAATGAAGAAAATTCTTTACTAAATAGCAATCGGGCTTTTTATGCGGAATTGTTCACTGCTCAGTTACGGTTGGTTCCTGTCTGCACAGCTGTGACACAGTTTTATTGCATAGGAGCATTTAAGGCCACCAGTAAATAGTCTTATTCTTATGCTGAAAAAGAAATAGAGAATACTGATAATGTTGCTACAATATCAGGAATATTATTTTTCTATAGAATGATGTAATGTCTCGTTAGCAGGAAATCCTTTTAGACACAATTTGGACCTCGAAATAGGAAATGCGAGCAGGTCTAGTTACATCCTCAGATGAATACACTTTTCCCTTTTTCCCATAACTCTTTGTTTCCTAAATCTTAAGGAGAATGCTAGGAAGCTGTAGGTCGTTTCCAACATCAATAGAATCACCAGGAAGTTAAATTAAAAGTTGGTTATAGTTTTGTGGCCTTTTAATTCATTTAGCCATTACATATACAGCGGCATAACTGTCTTTCTATCTTTCTACCAACTTTTTAGTCTTGTACATAGGACTACTGCCAGTTATCTTTTACCCACACCCTGCTTTTTAGTCCTCATCGATCAGTCGTTAGTCAGGGCTTTTAAAATATTGGTAATTACTGCTGTGAAGAAAATTTTACTCCTAGTTCCTGCCTGTCTCCTCCTGAGAAGTTGTTTCTCCTGGGTTTTTTTGATGTAAGGACACACTACGTTGTTTAGCTGGCGAGCCTTCTCATGGACACGTGTCCCTCAAAGTCTGCTTGGTCTAAGGGACTCTTATCGCACTCAACCATCAGTCTGTTTTATTGGCTACCAAAGTGGAACGTGAAGGATGTGTAACTGGGGGTGCTGCTTTTCTCATTAATTGTATCCTCACCTGCATGAAGACCCCATGATTATTAATCAAGTATTGATCATGTAGAAAAATGCACAACACACTCCTGTATATTTTGCTATGGCCCACGTGCAGTGGTGATGTTTTGCGTGTATATTTAATCTCATGCTTCCATGTATTATACATTTAGTAATCAAAGATTTGTGACCATGTTTCATTAAAAGCGTGTAATTAATTCCGTGGCTGGCATATCCAGTTTGTCATTGTCACACTAGTGTGCCTTCTGTGCCAATTTTATGACAGTTGGATGTCACTTATTTAAAATTTGGTTTAAATGGGCTAATGATATACCAATGGCTAATGTTCTTTTCTGAAACACTGTATAGGACGTGCACTTATCTTTAGTTTAAACTGAGTGTTCTAGTCAACATTTAATCCTGTTACGTTAAGTGTTCGACAGTACTTGCTCTTTTTCTCAGATTCTTGATAAAGGGGCTCGGTTAGAGCTGGACACTACTGCTTTGGGGGTTTTCTGGTTTTTACTTTTTTAATGTAAGTCTAAGTCTTTGTAATTATTGAATTGTGAGAACATTTTTGAACAATTTACCTGTCAATAAAGCAGAAGAGGGAGGTTTTAAAGTTGATAGTTGTCTGTCTTGACGCGTGAGAACGGTCTGCCGCTGACACGTGCTTTAGTTTCATCCTAAATTCACTTTCTTCGGGTGGATGCTTTACATGAACTGAGGGAAGCTTTGAAGCTCCATACCCGAATGCTGCGAGAGGCGGGGGTGTTTCTGCACGTAAATCCATGTTCAGGAGCGATGCAAGTCCTTCAGCTGGAATACAGTGTTGAAATGTGTTAAAGTTGTCATTTTTATCAAGTCGCTGGCCCTGTTATTTTTAAATTATTTCTATGACTGTTTCCTAATGGCTGAAGCACAGTAAGAAGGCTGCAAGATCTATTCAGACATCTTAAGTGAGATAAAACAATAAAGACTTTTGACTTGTAGTTCCAAAGAAACACAAAGGAACATTTCAGGGCTTTTTTCTTCAGCGTTGCCCACCTTACCCAGGGTATCTTCACGGGGAAGACCTAGATGAGTGTTCCCCGTGCCCTGTTCTGGGGGTGGGGGTGGTGGCCCTCAAACCTCCCATCAGCTGTGTGCCGGAAGCCTTCACACAAGTATTCATGTTAATCAGCCTTTGGCTTTTAAAAAAAAGCATTTCTGCTGCTCTTGAGCTGATTTTTCTCGGAGCAGTGAGGACTTCGGATGACAACAAAGTCTTTAATTATGGGGGTATTAAATCATAGCACTCAGCAGTGCCAGGGCTTGGTTATAATTTAAGCAGGAGAACGTTTCTAGAAAAATAAATTAATTGCTCAGTATGAATACATTATTCTTTTCTCTTTTTTTTTTTTTCCCCTCAAGCCTGGCCGAGCAGAATTCCTCCCCAAGTCCTCTACCACAGCCCCTCGCAAGCCTTCTATTCCCTTAAGGCTTCTGATGCTGCTTACCTCAAGAGTTCTTCTCAGCCCTCAGGAGAACTTTTAGAAATGCAGAAATTTGAGTCTCGATGTGAATTGTTCCTCTGACAGAGCACTTTCTTCTCCCTGGAGGCTACCAGTCTTAGTGAGGAACTGAGTTATGCGAGGAAGGGAGGATAATTTGGTCTCCTCTGCCCGTTCCATTTTCAGAGGCATTACATCAGGTCCCACAGCTGGGGTGACGGGTGACCGCTCACCAGAACACGCTGGTCTCTTCTAGCGCAGATCTTCACCCTAAAGGGCTGTGTATTTTGGAATATATCCTGGTGTCACTTGCTACCCAAGAACTAAACCCACCTGCCAGCGCCTCTGTCTGTAGCACAGATGTTGCTGAGCACAAGCAGGTTCCCTCCGTGGGTGCGATCTGCTGGGGGCAGCGCGTAAAGGCTCGCTTGATGTTTGCAGGGTAAATGCTTAACGCAGCTAAATCACAGAATCACAGAATCACAGAATCTTCTAGGTTGGAAGGGACCTTAAAGATCATCTTGTCCAACCGTCAACCTAACTGACAAAAATAGACACCCACACAACAAACAAGGAGCATCATCACTAAACCATACCTCCCAGCACTTCATCAACCCGTCTTTTGAACACCTCCAGGGATGGTGCCTCAACCACCTCCCTGGGCAGCCCATTCCAATGCCTGATAACCCTTTCAGTGAAAAAATTTTTCCTAATATCCAGCCTGAACCTACCCTGGCACAACTTGAGGCCATTTCCTCTTGTCCTGTCGCCTGTGACTTGAGAAAAGAGACCGGCCCCCACCTCTCTACACCCTCCTTTCAGGGAGTTGGAGAGAGCAAGAAGGTCTCCCCTCAGCCTCCTCTTCTCCAGGCTGAATAACCCCAGCTCCCTCAGCCTCTCCTCATAAGACTTATTCTCCAGACCCCTCACCATCTTTGTCGCCCTTCTCTGGACCTGCTCCACAGGGAAGTGGGAATCACAGGGAAGGGACTTCAGCGTGGAGATGCTGCAGGTCCAGGCACCCTCGACGTCCTCCGCAACACCAGATGAGGCATCCCTGGGAGAAGAAGACAGGTGCACAAAAACCTGAAGGGCTGGGAAGCATTTGAGGGAGGAGATGACTGTGGGAACTGAACCGCAGCCTCAGGTGCGATTAAGTGAAGAAACGGTCAAAGGGAGGTGTCACATCACAAACACAAGCCTTGTCTTGCTGCTGAGTTTAGCCTATGGAAAAGGAAATAAAAAACAAGAGAAATGGTATTCTTGCATGCCAGGCTACTGGAGCGTCCCGGGCTCTGGTCTGTACCCTGCCCACATGGTCCCCAGTGGCTCTGACAGGCAGGACATACCAAAAAGGAGCATTCACCTGCCCAGCCCTTGCCTTCCATTGTGGTGGCAGCAGGTCTGGACCACTTTCTCCTGTCTGCTTGCACCTCTCCATTTCCCTGTACATCCCTCCTGGGCAGCCCTGAGCTTCTCACAGTTTGGGGAGGGGGCAGAGCAGCCCCTTTCCTACAGCTTGGGAGCTGCTGCCCCACTGCTTGGGCTCACTGCTGGAAAGGGGTACAGGGAGGTGGGGGGAAGGCACGGTGATTGGCAAGAACCAGCACAAATCTCAGTGCTCCCTTACAAAGCCCTCCTAAACCTGTTTCTGGGTGCGTGGGGTCCTGAGGAGACACGGTGGGACGCCAGGGAAAGGCGAGCGTTGGCAGAGCATGTCCCAGTGGTGAATGCTGCTCCAGACTGGCGTTGCTGGCGGGGTTAGCTGAGGACAGGAGCAGAAGACAGCAGGACGTGCTCAGCAAGCCAGAGCTGCAATGCTGAGCTTCAGCCAGAGGAGGAACATGAACTCAGGAATCAGCCAGCTCCCTGTCCTTGCAGCAAATGTTTTCCCTGCTCCCCGATAAGATGCAGCACTTTTCTTTGTCACCTGACTACACAGGTTTATGCAGCTTTATGGCTTGTTTTCTCACAGATAAAACCCTCAGATTTCTTTGCAGCATCGCTTTGCTCTCTGGTCTCTTACGCAGCCCCTGCTCTGCAGTCCCCTGAGGAAGAGCAGTGCAGAGCCCTGCGTGCTGATGGAGGAGATGGCCATGGCTCTGGTGGCAGCGCCTTGGCCACCTCCTGCACTCCCCTGGTGCCAGCCCTGCCGAATCCCCCGCCTCTCTCTGCTGCTACCTCCTGCCAAAAGAAAAAAAATCAAAATAATATTTTTTTTTAAAAATGCATTGGCCCATTTTGCAGGCTCAGTGGTGGTTTGAGCACTGCTGCCCACTGCACTCTCTGAATCCAGGTTGGCACAACCTCTGCCAGCGGCCCTAGCGCGTGGAGGGAAGGCACAATGACAGGAGTTGGTGTCCATTAATAGTGCACAGGTTGCTTTCTCTTTTAAGACCCCGGGAAGCAGTGACTCCTGAGATCTTGCCATTAACACTAATGCATTTTGCATTAGCCTGTCACAGCAGGGGGGACCCTTGACTCTCAGGACCAAGAGGAAAACAAAGCCATCAGGTGCCCAGCCGTGCAGAGGCACAAACCACCCATCTAATGTGCTGCTTGTACCAAAGATGCCTGCGAATTAAATTCCTTGTTTAGGCAGGATCCCAGGGGAGACCCTTACGTACCATAAACCCGTTGCATTACCCTGCTGCACCACGGGATGCATGGATCATGGATAGGGCTGGTTTTCCAGCAGCTGTTGGCCCCCGGTATGGCAAACTGCCTCTGGTGCTTTGGTTTTCTTCTGCAGAGCTCCCCCCTCCCTGCGACGTTTTCTGTACGAGCGAGCGAACGTGGCTCCTGAAGGAAAAGTACAGAATGTGCTCTGCTAGCGCACTGACAAAAATTGATCTCTACTTTAATTAAAGCCTCTATTGTAAGTGACCTCGAGCTGCTAATGCATTTTAAAAATGAAGCCTGGCCAAGCAGCAAATCCATACACCCCCAGTACGGCGGGGTTACCGGGCGGTGATGGGTGCTGCGGAGCAGCCTGCCTCCCTCCCTGCTCCCTGCATGTCCCCCATGGCCATCCCACCTCACCACTACATCCCCACATCCCTGGGCAGAACACAGAGCTGATTTCCTCAGCTGCCCGCAGGGGAAAGGTACCATCCTGCCACTACCTTGTGCCATGATCCTTGTTGCCAACGGGTTGTCTTTTCCTTCCCTCTGCGTGCAGCTGCGGGATGCTCTTGCCTCTTGCGTCTTCAGCACACACCTCAGGGGTGCAGCCACTGAGACCCCTCGTGATCCTGGAGTGAGGGACCCAAAAAACAGTAGAGGGAGGGAAGTGATTCACTCCGGGGTGAGTGGCAAAGGGCTCCTTGGGGGAGATGGCCCCGAGTCCCCCCGCCTTGCACTGGGGCGATGAGCTGCCCGGTGCAATGGCCTCCAGCACGCAGCACTGCATCAGCCTGGGCTGGGGAGAAATAAATCACGTGCAGATGCTCATTTAAAGACTTGTAAGCGAGAGGAGATTCAGTCGCTTGCAATGAGCTGATTTGAAAGGGGAAAAGAGCACAAAAAGGCTCTCACAGGCAGCAGTAACACCCGCACAAAAGCCACCCCTCCGCAGCGAGACCCAGGCGATGCGGGGCCGGAGGATGCTGCGGCTGCTCTGGCAGGCACCATGGAAACCTCACAGCACCCGTGCTTCCACAGCAAGCAGTGCACAGGCTGACCATGCAGCACCATGTCCACACCAGCCATGGAGCGTTGTCTGGCCTCCTGTGGTCCAGCTGAGGGCTTGGGGGGTGTGTGGGGGGTTCTCCCTGGGGTTCACGTCACAGGGATGACGCTGTGTGCTGTAGGGTGAGTTTGAAGGACCTGACCCTGGACCACTGCTCTCCACAGAGATGCACATGTTGCGGGACCATGGGATGGTGGGACTTGGGCATTCCCAACCAGCTGGTGGCTTCCTCTGCGTTTTGACCCAGCTGGTGACCATTTCACTCAGCGCCAAGAGCCTGACAGCCACAGGAGAAGCTCCTGCCCAGGATGGTTGCTTTCCATCCCAGGACTGCTGGAGGGACACCCTCAGGAGCCATGTGTAGGGTGAAATCTCCACCCTGTGCCCCTTGGCTCACGATGCAATGGTGACAACCAGGGCCTGGAGGTGGCCTCGTGCCCTGCCTGGCTCGTGTTTTGTGCCCTGCCTGCTGGCACTGCCCGTGGCCGGGGGTCTCTCTGTGGGCAGGGGGCCGGTCTCGTCACCACACGCTGCCCATCATCCTTCGTCAGGGCTCTGATGCACCTAATGATGAATTCCCAGGCCTTTGAGGAGGGATTATGTCTTCCAGAGACTAGAACAAAATATAATAAACTTAAAATAGCTGCTTCCTTATGGAATATGCCAACAAGCCCTACTGAAAACCCAGCAGAGCGTAAATTTGCATAAATCTGCATACATCTCCATAATTTCAGCCTCACCCATCAGACCTGCTCCCGTAATGAAGCACTGCCTGACATTGCGGGCAGCCGAGGGTATTTGACACTTGCCAGGCCGCACACGCCGCCGCTAACAAGGCCCCTCACGGAGCCACCCCTGCCCCAACCCTCGTTTGAGACAGGCCAGAGCGACCATCCCCAGCCACCGGGTCCCTCACGGGGACACTGGCACCGGGCCTCTTTCCCCTTGCACCGCTGTGGGGAATAACGCAATAAATGCCCGGGTATGTCCAAGAGGGTCCCATAACCCTCAGCCCGGGCATGGCAGGGGGGAAGGAGGAAGCTCAGCAGAAGGAAAAGGGAGGGATGGAGATGCCTGGGATGGAGAGGAGGAACGGGGGACCCTGGGCAGAGATCCCCCAGCACCAAACATCGGGACCCTGGGCAGAGATCCCCCAACACCAAACACTGGAAAGCAAAATGGTTTCCTTTCAAACTCAACTAATGGGTCCAAGCTCTGGAGGCTCAGGGCCACATTTTGCAGTTGATTTATGCGCTGAATTTCCATCATGCATCCAGGGGTGCAGCCTTCGACCTGCTGCGTGCCCTGGGCAAATCCAGCACGGTGTTGGCTGATGAGCAGGCTGCTCAATTAGACCCCAACCTTCCCCAGGTACCACCTGAGATCCACATCTCAAATTTGACCGGTCTAAAAAGGATTTAGACCTACAAAATACAGTTTAAAACCCCAAAGCAACACCAGGGAGGCTGTGCCCCTGTGGCTGAGCCCTAACAAAGAAGGTTTGCTGTGGTTACCTTCACTGTGTGAAACTTTTATTCAGGTGAGATCCTTGTGCTTGTGTTTTAAAGCCCACCAGGAGTGACGTGAGGGGCTGTGAGGGCTGGAGAGGTGGCAGTGTCCCCAGGGAGGTGGTGACTGCCCCACAGCTGGAGTCCACGCTGTCAGGTTTCTGTCTCACTTCCATCATACAGAGGGTTGAGATAGAAGACCTGATGGTCTTTGGTAGCCGTCTCCTGCGTCGCCTCCTCTTCAGGGACAGCACTCGGTGGCTCCTGCAGTGGAGAGGGAGGGAAAAGCAACCAATGGGAAAGGGAAACCCACAAAACCCTTGGCAAAACCCACCCAGCACAGAGACCCTGCAGCAGCCGAGGAGCTGGTGACCCACAGAAAGATGGGACTGTCCCACAACCCCCTCCTGGCCTGGGGAAAGGGGGAGCCCTGCTGAGTGTGCTGCACCTCCACCACCACCCAAAAGGGTCCTGGCTGGGGCCCTGCCACCTCCTGCCCACGTCCCCAAGCATCCCCATGTCCCTGGGCAACTCACCACGTCGAACATGGGGTTGTTGAAGCCTTTGTCACTGGCTGGCTCAGGGGACACCGGGTCCTCCATTCTGTTCCAAAGCGAGGGGTAGCGCAGGATGGGCAGCCTGAGGAGAGACCTGAGCATCACCCACCACATCCCACCCATCCCAGCAGCTCCCCCAACCAAAACCCCGCGTCTTCAAGAGGTGGATAAGAAAATACAGCGGCAAAGTTTCAGGCTGTCTTTGAAAGGGGATGTTTGTACCCTTTCCCAGAGAAAAGCTGCCCTATCCAAGCAGAAACCATTCAGCCTTTTGAAAGGGGATGTTTGTACCCTTTCCCAGGGAAAAGCTGCCCTATCCAGCATAAACCATTCAGCCAGGAGGGCTGGGACCTGCATCCTGGAGGGAAGTTTGTCAGGTGTAGATGATCGTAGCACAGGCTTCGCTTCAGAGCCACTGCTCTCCCCCCCGTGGCCTAAAATGAATTGCCACAGAGCTGACACCTGTTCCCACTGCAATCTCAACAAGCACTAATTACTTTTATCATTACTTTTATCATGTTATCATTTTATCATCTTAATCACCATCACTACTTTTATTATTTTCTTCATTACTCTCGTCCTAAGGGTCCCAGCCACCGAGCACCATCCCCTGCACCAGGCACCTGGTGCGGGTGGGCTCAGCAGCAGGTCCACACATGTCACTCCACGTGCTGAGAGCCCACCAAACTTAAACACAGGCTCTATATGTGCAATCGAAGGAGCTGCACTGTCTGCAGGGAGGCTGTGCCAGGCCCTTTTTGGTTAAAACAAGCTAAATTCCCTGTTTTGCTGGTGGTCAGGACGGCTCTGCTGCATGGAGGGCAAGACTCCCAGAGCCTCCTGCCTAATTTGCAGCATCCCTGCTGGTGTCAGACACCTCCTCGATGCTCGGCAGCTCTGCCTGAAAGGGTCACCTGCCCCAGAGCCACCCAGGGACACGCAGCAGGAGCAGGTCGGCTGGGGACATGGCCTGGGCTTGGGTTCAGCTCCGTATCCTGTAGCTACACAAACTTCCCTCCCGCTGCTGACAGGGCCGGTTTCAAAGGCCTGTCCAGCGTCCAAAGAAGTGTCAGTGGAAGATAAATCATCAAGTAGCAATTACGGGACTGGGAGTTTTATTTAGAAATTAAATGAAGGCGTGGGTTTATTGCTAGGAAATGTCATGTCAGCACGTGCCGAGCGGCAGGGCAAGCATCCCTGGCCACGGCCGCTGCTGCGCGGAGAGAAAACCCCGGTGGAGGACCCAGGAGGGAAGAAACAAGCTGACTTGTGAGCCTGCAACTTGGCCAGGATGCCCTGTCAGACACCAAAGCACCTTGCACGTACAAGTTGAAGCAATTCCCGTGGTCAAATAGGGGAGACAAGCCATAGAGGCTCAGCGGGCAGCCCCACAGACAGAGACACCTGCCAATAAACCCTGCAAAACCCTCCTTGGGAGAGGCAGGGCCCTGCATGAAGGGGGGTGCATGAGTGAGGAGCAGAAGTGGGTGCCCCAAACACTTGCTGTGGGTGCTGCCAGGATGCCCTATTCACTGCTGGAGCCTGTTTCCAAGCTGTGAGGGGAAATGGTGACGAAGAAGGGTATTTCTGATCAGCTCCCAGCTGCGGTGAGGTCAGGTGCCACGCATCCCACCATCCCTCCCTTGCAACCTACACACCATTCTCCACACAGCATGAGCAACCAATGCACCAGAAGCTGCATTTGCTTCTGGATGCTGTCATTGAAAGATGATGAGGGGATTAGAACATCTCTCTGATGAGAAAAGGCTGAGAGACTTGGGTCTTTTTAGTCCCCCACCATGGGAGCTCTGGGCAGCTCTGTGTGTCTCCATGCCACCAGGCTGGCAGGCAGGACAGCCTTGGGTTTATAGTTTCCCCCAGGCAGGAGAAGCCTGGCAAAAGTCTCAACCTTACCTTAGTTTTCCTTTTCTGTAGAGAAAGAGGATCCCTCCAAGCAAGAGGAGACCGAAGAGTAGCCCCATGATAGTCCCTGCTGTGATCCTGCTCGTTGCGTGGCTCCCCACTTGCCCGCTGAAAGTGCTGCCAGTGGCCACCTCCATTTTGCCACTTGAAATGCCAAGTGCTTCACCTGGGAAAAGACAAGAAGACATAGGGGTGAGGACTGGATGGGACAACATGACGACAGCCCCCAACACCACCCTGACTGATGCACAGGGCAGAGGGAGCCTGCAGTTGGGTCCGGCACTGCTCACCTGGTAAATCACCTTTTCTTGGGGATGGGGGTTGAGATACACACCTGGGTGGACCCAACTACTCTGCTACCTGTACAGCAACCACCAGGTCCCCTGGCTGTGACCTACATGCTCATCATCATCTGCCAGCTTGCAGAGCTGCCTCCACATGCAGCATTCTGGCTGGGAAGCAGCTCTGCAGAGAGGGACCTGGGGGTCCTGGTGGGCACCAAACCTTGGCTAGACACAGCATGGAAGGAGAACAGTATGGGCTGCATGAGGAGGCAGGCTGCCAACGGGTGAAGGGAGGTGACCCATCCCCTCTGCTCTGCCTTGGTGAAACATAGCTGAAGTGCTGAGCCAGGCTCTTCTCAGTGGTGCCTGGTGACAGGGCAAGAGGCAATGGTCAAAAACTGAAATACGGTAAATTCCACTTCAACATAAGAAAAAAAAATGTTTTACTGCAAAGCTGGTCAAATATGGGGACAGGTTGCTCAGAGAGGTTGTGGAGTCTCCATCCTTGGAGAGATTCAAAACCCAAATGGACATGGCCCCGGGTAACCTGCTCTTGGAGGCAGGGGAGGAAGATGGTCTCCAGAGGTGTCTGCCACTAATTCTGATCCTGCGGTTCTGCTCTGCCCACACCACTGTCCTACTACAATCAACATGGTAAAACTTCTGCGTAAGTAAAGTTAAACTTCTGGGTAAGTGGCATGCTGGACCAGACTGACGAGGACAAGGACCTTCAACTCAAGGAGCTTCAACCAAGCTGCCACTTAATTCCCACGTCATTCCCTGGTGAAAGGGCAGGAATGAGAGGCTGCCAAGTGGCCTGCTGGTGGGGGACAAGAAGCTCTGGACAGTTGTGGCTTTAGGTGCACATGTGGGGGACCTGCCGAGGAGGACGCTGGTGTTACCGTGCTGTGCTATGTCCTCCATGATGTCTGCAGCCATCTGCTCCGCAGCGGTGCCGGTCTGTGCTCCTGTCTCGTCATCGACCAGCACGATTTGGATGAGGGGAGTGGGGCTTTGGGGTATGATTCCCAGGAAGGTCTGTTCTTTGTCCACCTTGGATATGGCCATCCGCACACCAGCATACTTGGGCTTTTCAAAACACAAGGCAACACATAAAGCCCGTTAGAGCGGTAGGAAGAAATTAGTCACCTCTACAGACAGCCGCAATGGATGCACCAGCAAGGCCCACCTATAAATCTTCATGTGAGTCTCATCTCAGAGCTGCCATCCCTGTTACCACAGCGCCATTGGGTTTCCCAAATGAGAGGTTCCTATCTCCTCTCCCTTCGAAGCTGTGACCAGCACCCAGCACGCAGCGTCCTCCCACGGAACCAAGCACACCGAGAAAGCAATTTCATGTAGCACACCCATTAAACACTGTATTAAGATGTGTGCAGCTGTAAGGAGGGCAGGCAACAGGCTTTTGGCTCGGGATCAATAGAGCAATATTTTGATATCGATCCCCCTGGTGTAACTCAGAGCACACCTCCTCCCACCCCGGCAGCTCCCAGCCAGGAGGAGGGATGTCACGCTGCGTCTGACAAGCAGCAGCGTGGAGTGATGTCTTACAGGGGATGTGTCTGAGTGATGATCAGTGCTGGTTACCTACCCAGTGCTTGCCCACTGGGGAATCAAAGGCAACCCAGCACCGGGAATCATCTCCCAGAGCCCACAGGATGCGCTGCAGCAGGTTTGCATGATCCCACCCTGACCTGACCTCCTGGCTGACCTCCTGTGTTTTCTAGACCAGGGTTTCCAGCATGTCTCCCCCACATCCTTCCCCATCTGCACGTCGGCAGCTGGGCCTGCCCCACGTTGAGAGGGGCAGCATGGCTGTGGTGGGGAGCAAAGGAGGCTGTGCCAGCCCCACGGCAAGCTGGCCCATCCAAGAGGCCAAATGTAGGGGGTGAGGCTGAACCCCCTGCTTTGCTGGGACTGCATACCCCTCCAGACAGCCCCACCAGCATTGAGTCACTGGCAGACATGCCTTGTGGTTTCATTAGACCCTCCCAGTCCCAGGGGTTGATGTACCTGACTCAGCAAGGCTTGGACCAGTCTGTCCCGGTACTTCTGCAGGTCAAAATCAGGAGTGAAATCCAGATTAATGGTGGCTCCTGCAGCCCAAAAACAGACAGACATGACATTGTCACCGAGCCCAGGCAGAAAGCTGCCACGGCAGCACAGCTCTAAGTGCCACAAAAGGCACTGGGAACCTTCCAGTACCTCCGTGCAACTGGTCTGGAGAGGTGGCTCCACAGCCCTGCCTGAGCAGCGCTGCCCCAAGAAACATCTCCCTCCCTCGCTGGTCTTTTTGTCAACTGGCTTTGATGAAAGGCCTCTGGTTTCCACCATAATCCAGAGAGAAGCTTTCCTTGGAAAGCTCTCTCCCACATATCCCTCCGGGAAGCTCTACCTGTACCTGGTTTTGGGGCTGCAAGGCTGCGATTCAGCAACACTGCCCTGGCTTTGGAGGGAAGGCATCAAGGGGGGGTCACCTGCGCTCCCTGTGTTGCTGCACTGCAGTCATTGGGTCAAATATCCTCCTTGGGAAAAATGCAAGTAAGCATTTTTTGAAATATTGAATTGTCCTAAAGTCTTTAAGAGGCGCTGCTTTCAGGAGCATGTCAGAAAAACATACCGTACTGTTTTAATGAATTTGGTATGATATATCAAATATGATATACCAAATATCTAGGTACAATTGTGCATGAAAAATTCCTCCTAACAACCTTCGGGGTAAATTAATGGAGAAGCGCCCATTGCAAAGGGAATGCTGTCAATCTGCATGTTTTTATTTTAAATGAAATGAAACAAACTTGCTGTTGGAAAGCTGACATTATGGTGGAAAAGGTGCATTTCCTCCGAGTGTTTTCCCCTGCATAAACTCAGCAGAGCCCTATTAGCTTGACGAGATGTGACACCCTGACAGGATAAACCAGAGGCAGGGACAAAGGGCTGCAACTCAGAACAGGCTCCCAAAAGCCAGGCTGATGTTTCAGAGTGATGTCCTGGTGGGTTGACATGTGGGATGTGGATGGGAACCTGTGGATAGGACCCGTGGGAGCAGGGATACAGCAAAACTTCAGCCCAAGACCAGCAGCACCCCCTGCACCCAGCTTTCCCCCATGGAGCCAGGGGAAAGGGGCTGGGGGTGACAACGTGGAGAGGGGGGAAGAAGTGGGACCGTGCCCCCCACTCACCGCAGACCTCGCAGCAGTGGCCGAGGGGCTGCAGAGGGGTTTGGCATGTCAGGGCTGGGCACTGCCTCCCCAGGGCGGCGCAGATGCGGTGGCCATCCTAAAGAAGAGCAGGGTAGCATCAGTCCCTCATCCCTCCCTCATCCCAGCCCCCAAAAATTGCAATGGCAACCCCCTAAGTTGCAACAGGGAGGACTCACCGGGGCGTTCCCACAGGCACAGCCGGACTTCTCAGGGCAGGCGGTGCCCGTCACCTGCAGGGTGCCATTGCCATGAAACTGCAGCGGAGCAGAGGGACCCCCCAGGTACCCGGCCCAGGCCTCGGGGCTGCTGAACTCCTGCGTGGGGAAGAGCAGCAAAGCAGGTGAGTATCCCCAGCCACATCCCAGTGAGGAAAATCCTGCCACTACTTTTCCTGCCCCCTGCTTTTCCACGGGGCCAGAAGAAAAGCCCTTTCTAACGTAACTCCCTCCCCAAAAAGGACCACAAATAGAACATGAGATGTCTGGGTTTTTTTTCTTTTTGTTTTCCTTCTTTCTTATGGACCAAAGAATTCAATTTATCAGCTTTCAAGTAGGGGCTGGACCTAAGGTGTTTTCCTTCAATCTGGGAAGTGTTTCAATGGGCTCAGCATTAGCAAAGGCTGAACTGGACTGACCAGCCTTGTCCTGCCAAGCTGGTGGTAAGTCCCTCACCCGCTGCCTTCCATGGGAGGCTTCTCCATGCCCTGGCACAGCAGAAGGATTTCTCAGGGGCCCTGGAGTGAAAATACCCCACATAGAGCAAGGAGCAGACTGTCTTCAAAGGGGCAAAGTATCTCATAAGGTTAGTTTTTAGGAAATACGCTATAATCACAGAAATAAAAAGCACCTTTTCTTTCCATCTCATCACTCAGCAGCAGCCTCCACCCCAGGGCACGGCCAGCTGCAGTCCCTGGGGGGATAGATTTGGCGGGGGGGGGGGTTGAATGGGGGGT